GAACCCAATCTAATGCCAAACATTTGTCAAATTAAAATATAAAACTAGATAACAAATTAAAAATATGTATGGCATGCAATATTCTCAGTAGAAAAGACAATTAAATAAGAGAATTTTAAATAAAATATATGAAACAATAAAGTTTAAAGCCAATTCTCAGTAAATGAATGTGGAAAACCCAGCACAGCAGCTGAATCGAAAGGCAGAGAACGAAACCATTCACAATTTTCATTGGACTTGAAGTTCTGCCTTTAAATTAGCTGCGCCAGGGAAAACTGTGAAAAGAATATAAGTACATATTAATATACAATATATTTAAAGATAAAATTGTTACCCAAACTTGTTCATATTAATAATTCAAACTCAATACAGCCTAATGGAAATTTGGTCTCAAAAGTGAGCTTCTTCTGTGTTGGCTACAACAAAAATCGTTTGGTTCTTGGAATTTGCTTTTGGGTCGATTGGAATTCGATTCGATTCGTCAATCAAATAACACCTGCCTTACCTTTATGTTTTGACACCATCTGAATTTTCGTGTATTTGTTATTTTGCTTGTGGCCCAAAACTTTAAAGTTCCGCCCTTTTTGTCTGCGGCGGCTTCTGCTGCGGGCAGCATTAGTTACATAAATTTGAATTAAAGTTGAATGAAAATGCTGATGATGTTGATAATGATGCTGATGACGGGGACGATGATGGAATCGACTCGATGTCAAAGTCAAAATCTGTTACGGTCAGTTTTGGCTTGGGGTTGTGTAGTTTGTAGCTGTGGCCCTTTTATTTATTAATTTCCTGTTTGCATGTGGTGCACCTCAAGCCGGAAAAACAATTTGTTAGCTTGTCAAAAGCAACGACAGCTCAGCTCAGCTGAACTCATGTCCACGCTGCCCAGCTACGTAGACGGCCATGTCATGTCCAAGTCAGGTCCAAGTTCCGTTCCAGACTCGACACTTCCTGTGCGGGCAACTCGTTAACTTGGCTTTAATGTCAATATTTGTGCGCATCGCTTGCAAAATTTACATAATGAAAATGGCAAATATTGCGATGCGTTTGCTTTACGCATTAGCAGCAAATTATATTGAGATCAATGACTGCACCGGAATCGGCACGATCTGGGCCGGGGGTGGAGCTTAAATTGAGCAAGTGCATTAAATTAGCATAAAATCAACAAGCTAGAATGGCCAGCAAACGGATTTGCCGCCCACTTAAATAATAGTTGCAAAATACAAAACAATTCGCACAAAACGAGAATTGCAAACAAGCCAAACAAACAGCAGACCCAGGCTACGAACATTGTGCTGGGCGGCAGCTGCAATTAAATTCAATTTAATGCCCCATACAAAAGTGTTGAACAACAACAACAACAAGCTCGATTGTGAGCATGAAGACTGATCAGCTTAATAGATATCCTGTAACACGCAGCTGCAGAGTAAACAAGCCTTAACAAAGTTAAAACAATTTGGCATATGGACTCGAACCCAGATCCATGGTGTTGACCCACTTTCTGAAACAACTAATCTATTCCTTTTAAATAAATACAAAGCATGATTATATTATGCTGTGGATTCGAACATGCATCCACGCTGTTGACCCTCACTCTTAGACAATTCCCCTTTTGATGTCTGTCCTTTCCAACACACAAATAGGATACTTTCCTGTACGATTTATCTTTTTTGTTTCATCTGCCTTGAATTTCAATATGCCCACTTTAGCCTACTTTTGTGCACTTGGTATAAATACAACATTAAGGACACCACCACCCACGTGGGCTAGGTTTTCAACAAAACACAAACGGCTTTGCTGCAGACTGTGAGCCATTTTATTAAATGCGCAACAATGCAAAAACAAATTCGAAATGCAAGCGCCTGGCATTTGTTGATAGTTCCCACATTGAATGGCCCACTCCGAGCTCCCCTCCCCGCCCACCGCAGTGGGCTGGCAGTCTGCACTGATTGATTGAGTGTCTGGCAACTGGCGCGCGGCTAGCCAGCACAGCCCAGCACTTTGCTGACCAAGAGCCTTTTAACGTGACCCAATTGTTGGCCCTAATTTCTGTGATTCCGTTTTGGCTAAATAATGACACCGCACTTGGGTACGCAGGGGTCATGTTGGGTAAATGGAACAACAATCACAATAGACGCACGCACACATGTCAGTCGACCGGGGCGGGGGGGAAGCAAGGGGAATGATAGACAGACAAATTCAAATTTCCTGGGCACACGCTGCGTATGCGCCATTTGATATCTGTACAAAATGAATGCAATTGACATTTTAGTTGTTGTTGCCCTGGCATTTATGATAGAACTTCATAGAAATTGTCAGAATGTATTAACTCTCAATTGAATGGAATGTTGCACTGCATGCATGCGAGTATATTTTGTATTGCCGGAGAGTTTATTATGATCCTTAAATCAATTTGGTTCGGCTTGCCAAACTAAATAATGGCAAATTAATATTAATATTTTTGGACGTGTCTTTGATTCATTTATTATTAATCTGATCTCTCTTATTCGGAGATAAATAAAAGATATGGCTAATTTTAGCATGTGTTAAGGATGGAACAAATCTGAAAGCTAGCAACTAATCATAATAATTTGTTTATCTAAATGAAACTTGGTCTTTAAACAGTACACGAGATTCTGCTACGAAAACTATTCTCTTAAGCTTTATTGATTCTAGTAGTTGGTTGTGTATTGTTTATAGAATCGATCATAAACTGGCCTGGTTATATTTATATTTTAATCATTTGTATTTGGTAAAAGCTATAAGACAACCACACTGGAGGCCTGCGTCAAATCAATCGAAATGCGAATCAGAAACTCAAGCAAATAGTCAAGACTCTTTACCAAAAGTAAGTGTGAGTTCATCGATCTCTCTCCAAACGCGACCATTTTGTTGCGGTTGCGACAGCTCGAACATTTAGTTCAAACATGTTGCTAATTCGAACGGGTTGAACTTCATTTTTATGAATGTCTTTGAGTTTGGTAAATGGTTTATTCGAACACTGCTCAGAACGAAACTCAAATGCACGAGTCTTTTGGCTTTCGGTTAAATCAATTATCCAAGTTTAAAGCTAAGGTATTAAGCATTGCAGGACTCTAATTCACACACAGATTGCAAGCAACAAACTATAAAAAACTCGCAGTCAGCAATTCGATAGTTTAACATGACAATTAGATAGTAAACTAAATTAGTTAGTTCCAAGCATCGTTTTCATTAAAAGTTCGAAATTGTTCTGGGTTTTTAGAATGTTGTAAAAAGTTCTCCTAACATGTTGACCATGTAATTACGCTGTGGTTTTTGCACCTAGCCAACTGCTCAGTTTGTAGCCACAAAAGTTTGTGGCCAAGTGACAGGTACAGCACGTTGTTGACCAGTTTACTGTTGCGCTTGTGTCTTGAGCGTGTTGTTTCAAAGTGACTGCAAAGTTTAGCTTGCACTTTAGACAAGTTGCAAATATATCACACGTGCACTCAGAGTGTACAGTATATATGTGTGTATGTATATTGATATATGTACATGTATAGGGAGGAAACATAACGAGCATTAAGTTGCAGTGTGCAGCTGGTACATGACAACACAAGACATATGTACACGGTCATATAGTCACTCAGTCGAGGCATAAATCATGGCTAACAACACAAGCGCTAGAAGATGCTCACACTCACTCACACACAGGCACACCCACATCCGAGCAAGTTGGAAGAACTTCCGTGAGAGATGCGACCAAGTTGAGCCGAAAAATTTGACAGCCAAGCAAACAGCGGAGCACTACCATAGCAGATACACAGATACAGAGCTACACGGATACATAGTCACAGATACGGATACGGGCAGATGAAAAGTTTCTCCCGAGTTGATGATTGACGTTTGGGCGTTCAAAGATTCCCCTGGTTATCGTAATTAAAAAACTTTTGCAAACCTATTGAACATGCGTCCGATTGTTTGATGGCATTTCAATGTTTCGCTGTCAGTCTCGATACAAACATACCATATATATTGTGTATTTATATACATTTACTAGCGCATTTACCGAGGCCTTTCCCGTGGTTCGTAAAAAAAATTCTATCAAAGATCTTTGAAAATAAGTTAGAAAGCGCTTGGACGGTAAGCCGTATTCATTAAGCTCTTATGTAAAGCTTTGAATATAAATTTGAATATAAAACAATAATTATGTTGCCCGATTTAGATGCCAAATTGATCTAGAGGCCAAACCATGAACAAAGAAGCAAACCTCGTGAAAATTGGATGAGATTTCACCGAGCTATGATAAAATACGAGGAAAGTTTGATTTTGTGTAAAATGTGAAATGCGATTTAAAGCTTTTCAAATAGATCTTTGGTTATATAGTTGACCCCCATTTCGATCAATATTGCGTGGTTTTCAAAATGTGCGAAATACCCATCAGATGAATTTTGACAAAGATCTTTGAATATTAGTTTGAGTCCGATCAGATGTGAAGTAAAAAAGATGCATAAAACATTTTTCGCGATTATTCCACACGTGCGGGTGGAATTTCCAATTGTATCATATAAGGCAACTTCAATGAAAATTTCAGTTTCCTAGCTCTTACGGCGTGGGGCAATCAGTCGGTCATTTAGTCAGGCCAAACAGTTTTATATTTAAAGATATATATTGTATAATTGTACATCCGATTGTCTTTTATTTATTTTGTCTTGGTCAGCTCCGTAACTTAAAAACAAATGAAAATCCAAATCGAAACTAAATATAAAAGATGCTCTACCTACTCGTTTTGGGTCTCTTGTCCTCTATTTCAACTTCATCTTCTGCTTCTTCTTCTTCTTCAACTAAATGTAATTTTAAAGATACTTTTGCATGTAGCGCTTGGTAGGCGCCCAGATGCAGCTAGCCTAGCCATAGCTAAACATATACCCAATGTCAGATATAAGATATGTATATAGGATGTTCTCATATAGGCTATATATAAACGCCACTTGTTGTTGTTGTTCTTGTTGATATTTGTGTCATTTTTGTTGTTGTTGTTGCTGCTGCTGCTGTTGATTTTATAGCTTGGATGTTTAGAAGCACTTGCGGTGCACAATGCCGGGGCCGGACTCATCGTACTCCTGCTTGGAGATCCACATCTGCTGGAAAGTGGACAGCGAGGCCAGAATGGAACCACCGATCCATACAGAGTATTTACGCTCAGGTGGTGCAATGATCTTGATCTTAATTGTGGACGGAGCCAGGGCGGTGATTTCCTTTTGCATACGATCAGCAATACCTGAAATATACAGAGCATAGATTATGTTCTTAAGTATTTCGAGGAAAAGTTTTGCGAAAATCTTGTCAGCATGATAAATGTCTTGCAAGAGTTTCAAGTAGCTAACATAGACTAACCGGGATACATGGTGGTACCGCCAGACAGCACATTGTTGGCATACAAATCCTTGCGGATATCCACATCACACTTCATGATCGACTGGTAGACAGTTTCGTGAATACCGCACGATTCCATGCCCAGGAATGAAGGCTGGAACAGAGCCTCGGGCGTACGGAAGCGCTCGTTGCCAATGGTGATAACCTGACCATCGGGCAGCTCATACGACTTCTCCAGCGAGGTGGATGCGGCAGCTGTGGCCATTTCCTGCTCAAAGTCGAGAGCGACATAGCAGAGCTTCTCCTTGATGTCGCGCACAATTTCACGCTCGGCCGTGGTGGTGAACGAGTAGCCACGCTCGGTGAGGATCTTCATCAGATAGTCGGTCAAATCGCGACCAGCCAAATCCAGACGCAGAATGGCATGTGGCAGTGCATAACCTTCATAGATGGGCACCGTGTGGGAGACACCATCACCGGAATCCAGGACAATACCCGTGGTACGACCGGAGGCGTATAGCGAGAGAACTGCCTGGATGGCCACATACATAGCTGGCGAGTTGAAGGTCTCGAACATGATCTGTGTCATCTTCTCGCGATTGGCCTTGGGGTTAAGTGGAGCCTCGGTGAGCAGCACTGGATGCTCCTCGGGGGCCACACGCAGCTCATTGTAGAAGGTGTGATGCCAGACCTTCTCCATATCATCCCAGTTAGTGATGATGCCATGCTCGATGGGATATTTCAGCGAGAGAATACCACGCTTGCTCTGCGCCTCATCGCCCACATAGCAATCCTTCTGACCCATGCCAACCATCACGCCCTGATGGCGAGGACGACCCACAATGGATGGGAAGACAGCGCGTGGGGCATCGTCGCCGGCAAAGCCAGCCTTGCACATGCCGGATCCATTGTCCACAACCAAAGCTGATGCTTCTTCGTCACACATTTTGGCAAAAGATTGTTGAAATTAAGCTAAACGAGCAGGCAGCACTACAATAAAGAAAATCCCAGACGTTAAATCCTTTCGATAGACGGACGAGGCGCCACTCACGACGTGTATATACCACAGCGACAGCAATCAGAGTGATTCGCTCTATGGCCGACATCTGCATTTAAATAAGTTCTGTCTGTCATCTCAAAACAATGGATATTTTTCACCATAGTAACATGTTGATGAATTCTGTCGGAATAGAGCGGCACACACAAGGGTAAGGAGAAGGGGAAGGGGGCAGCCAAGGCATGAATGCACAACATTTATTTTGGCGTCCTAAGCGAATATGGGCACATTAACTATGTTGTTTAATTGGCAATTCATGCAAGGCTGAAAGTCGGAAATTTCAATTTATTTAAATACTAGCTACAATTTTAAGATTTCAAATATTTTTTGAATAGAACTGGATCCATTTACATGTTCGCGTGAGTTAAAAGGGATCAGGAAACAGTTATGGCTTTAATTTTTGAATCGGTTTTTTTCGATTCTGGACACAGTTTTGATGATGATTATAAAGGCAGGACTTGAAATGGTTCGGAATTAACTATGAGCCCAACCTGAAAGAATTCATTTAAAAAAAAAAACTTTATCCAACAATTTTCCAACTTTTGCCCGAAATAACCTGGGGCTTTGCTCTCTCATGCGAGATTCGTTTTGGAAGTCCAATGCTTTTCACAGATACCTCATTAAAAAACTAAGTAATGCCACAAATTATTTGGAAGTTCGATATTATATATATTTGCTTCAATAACATATTAAGTAGTGCGTTACCCATTTGCATATCCATTCCTGGAAGTACATTCCCTAACAATTCGTTAATAATTATTTGGTTAAGATTGATTTTAGATAAAAAGTAACATTTTCATTTTCTCTTGGTAATATTTAGTTCTTTGATTAATATATTAACATTTGTCTATGATTAATATTTCTAGTTGACTTTGGACAAGATTTTCATTGCGTTAAAATTATGTAGATTTCTTAACAAAGTCACATACTGAAAATTTAAATTTGTGTTGGTGTCGGACATTAAGATAGAGTATTTAAAGTATCGTATAGCAACGAGCCAATAATTGGCTTGTATCATTTCATGTTCACGAAATTATGCCTGCTGCATTTGCGAGCGGCGATGCTTTCTAAGTTGCATGAGGGCGAAGATGCGCCAGGACTTGTATAGGCATCCGTTGTTGTTATATTTTTAAGTTTTTATATAAATAAATGCAAAGAACTGAACAATGCATACTTGTACCACATACTTGGCCACATCAAGCAGCCAGCCTTTCTGTATATCACGATTTTTGTGCCAATGATGTGACAAAATGTTTTGAGTGCCTCGCTCACTCGGCCCATAGATGGTGCGGCCCGAAATGCCCAAACGACAAAAAAAAAAACCAAGAAAAATAAAACAAACAAAAAAACAACTAAATAATAAATAGATATATAAGTAGTACAATATAGCATTGTGTGTGGATTACATTAAATTTAAATAAAATGATTATGCGAGTGGCATGCTCTAGAGGGCGCATTCAATTGTGTGTGTCTATGTGTGTGTGTGTGTGTGTGTGTAGACAGGGGCGTGAGTGCATTTCTCGACAATTTCTCGGTTGTCGGTGCCGGCTCATATCGCCAGATCTTAACGTAATATTAGCCACGAGATTTATATGCCTGCTGTTTATTATTTTAATTAAGTGTAGCGCAAAATTTCGCTTTATCTGGCAAGTGAGTTATTAGGCAAACCAAACAATAGATATGCAATGCAGGCTCTTTCATCTTGAATAACGACAGTCTCAACTGCAATTCCGTGCTGTACACGCTGGTCTGGTAATAACTGCAACTGACTCGCACATCTTCGAGCTAGTTGAAAAGTTGTTCAAGTGCTTGGCCAAACTATTTGAAAAGTACGTGACTGTTGCTACGGGCAGGTACTGCCACTATACGTATCATTGTCTGTACGTTTGTTGCCTTGCCTTTGAGCTCAACGCCAAAAACCAGTTGAAATTTCTGAAAATTATGTTCGCCTGTACACTCCTGCCAACTACTCATGTCGGGTGCGTTGGCAACCAGACGGATTATGGGTCAATTTAAAAGTTTTCTACTTGTTTTTCCTGTATTATAAATTTCACACACCTTTGTCTTATGCTCTGCGGATTTGAAATCGCATTTGCTTTAAAATATTTTAAGTAGGTCAACAAAGTGCTTTAATATTTGATAATCTAAAAATAAATAAACTAGTTTGACATTCCGCCAAAGCTTAGCAATTTATTTTATTTTTCATTCGAATATTTGTCGTTTTCAATGAACAATAATAATCAATATAATGAATACAATGCAATTATTTATTATTCTCCAAGCAATTAAGTAAAATCTATGATTCCTTTGCTACAAATTCATTCCAAGAACCTTCTTTCATTTATTTGCCAATCTTCCGGCATTTATGAAACGAGATATGAACATAATAATATGGAAATTTGATGAAAATTCATTGGAACAAATATTTCAATTTTAATTGATTGAATTTTTAACTATTTACATAGATATACAGATAAAATGGAGTGTAAAAAAAAGTCTGATTGCTGTTGTGATCGATCTGGTCTACCTTTATTTTAATGGCTAGCAATATTATACATTAGGCAAACGAAGGGAAACTTTTCACATGACCCTAGCATACATTCGCCACGGAAACAGCAAATGGCGCTAACCGAGTTTGGCATTAGAAATGGTCGAATTGGCGAAAACTGACCCAAACTCGAACTTCAAAATGTTAGCTAAAAGCGCTGCAGAGAGTCGGATTCGGATTCGTGATGCGTTGACAGGATGAAACTGCACCTTAAATGCCGTTCCGGCTGCTGCCGTGCGGTGCTGTGCCGTTCGGTGCGGTGCGGTGCGGTTCTTTGGGGCCATGGTGGCTCTTTGGCACGCAATGCAGCGTGCGGCACTAAAATAAACTTAGCTAAAGTGCCAGACAGAGAAAACTGAAAACTGAAAACTGAGAGCTGAAAGCTGAAAACCAACAACTGAAAACTGAAAACTGAGCGCGCTGAAAAGTTGCCTCAATGCGCATAAAAATTAAAATACTTGGCGACGCTCGCATACAAAGTGGACGCGCATTTCGGCTGGGTCTTGGGTTTTGCAAAATTGTTCACGTTTTATGGCTAATTTATGATTTTATTTTCAACATTTTCTGCAAAGTATTTATGAAAAATTGCAACTTTAAGACGGGTGCACTCGGGCTGCTTGAGTCATTTTAATTTAATTTTCACTGTCAACAACGTTGCTGCAGCAGCAGCAGCAACAGCAACAGCAACAACAACAACAACAAGAGCCACAGCTTCCGCTTCAACTTCAGCGTTGGGCGTTGCGTGCAGCTGGGTGGGCGTGGCTGGAGCTAAACTTTGCACACAAACTTTGCGCTCAAGACACGCTCTGACAGTTTTCCCTTTTTGAGCTCTCTACACATTTTATTAATTAAACAAGTTGCCCGCTCAAATAATTTCCACTTAAATTAATTTCTCCCATGTGCCCGCCACTGGCAGCTGTCATCATGCACAGAGCCACAGCCACAGCCACAGCCCGCAACAGCGTTAATTACACCTTCACTGCGTTGATGCAGGTGCACGGCATAGCCAAAAACACAGTTTGCTTTCAATTATCGTTTAAATGCGCGTATTTACAGAGTTTGTCATTATAAGGTAAAACAAAATAACATAACAGCCTATAAAACTAATCAATGGGCAGCGTTTCGTGCAGCCAAGTGCGTTTGCCGCCCTCAACAAAGTCAGCCGCCGCATGATCCTGGCCGTTGAGTATCCATTTGGTGGTCAAGAGACCCTCGACACCGACGGGACCGCGTGCATGGATCCGTGCCGTTGAGATGCCCACCTCGGCGCCAAGGCCGAACCGGAAACCGTCCGCAAAACGCGAGCTCGCATTGTGGAACACACAGGCGCTGTCCACGCTGCTAAGGAAATGCTTGGCTGCGGCATCTGCACGAAATGGAAAATGGAAAACAGAAAATAGAATATGCAAAATATACAAAATTGTAATATGCAATATGCAATATGAAATATGCAAAGCATGAGTGCATGTTGTATAAAATTAATTTCCCAAATGATTTAAATTTGTTTTGGCAGCGAGAGTTGCTTTCCCAAAAACCAAAAACCTGATCCCCACCTTGGTTTGAGCCACTGCCAATGACATCACGCATGCAAATTGCAACGAACTTGACTTGTAAATGCCCGTCCGTGCAGTTGGCATGACATTGGCTTTTTGCTTTTAATTCAATTACCACACGGGCCAATGGGCAACTGACGGCTCTAAGCTAGTCGAAAGTTTATATGAGTTCCAAAACACGCGACAAATCTATGGCAGAAAGTTCTAGACTACATATTATGCAGAAAACTGCCAAATTCTGTTTAATAAGTATGATTTAAAAGTTATCCTGAATTTTACAATTCTACAAACAGAATTCCTGGAGGAGGAGGAGGAATTGAACTGAAGAACTGATAAAATTATATAAGGGATTATATGGAATTATCACGCAGCACTCATAGGATAATCAATCAAATGGGGATGTTCAAATAGTACTAGATATACATGTACATAAGTATATACATATTTGGTATATATATTTGGTATATTACTATTTAATCGATTCCTAGCATAAACGAATAATTTAATCATTTTCATAAATAAGTTCTGTTAATACTCTATATATATAATGTATTCATTTTCCTATTATACCCTAAAACTCTTTTCGAGTCCGTCTCTCTGCCCGTCCGTCTTTGCCTTTTGAGTTTGAGTCTATATGAGCTAGACTCTGAAATTTTAAATATATGTGCTCTTAGTACCCCCGAGTTTTTTCCGATAATCGATATCCTCCCCCGTTTCCAAGTAATCGATCAAAATCGATGTCGAAATCCGATTTGTTGAGCAAATCTCTTAGGCTTGAAGAGCTAGAAAAATATATACTGATGAAGTATCTTTGATTTTATAGCTAACGCGGGCTGCATTTGACATGGTTAAAGAATGTTCAGGGTATTCTCTATTCGGTGCAACTAGAGCACTCTTACATGTTACTATTCAAATTGTGTGTGGTATGGCATGTTTATCCAAGTCCTTCATTGTCCTGCACTACTTCAATAATAAATAAATGCAAAGCTAGTTAAAATTGTACCCATTTCATGGGGTTCGATACACAATTCGGTCGCAAAACAAATTTATAGCCCGCACATTGAATTGTCATTAGCTTTAGGTACCGCAACCCATCAGGGCCAACTCTGCTGATGTTGGTCGAATAATATTTCAGCTTCAATTGCAAGCAATTGAAATTAATTTTCAATTTTCGTACCATTTTCCGTAACAATGACATCCGTGTGACCGCTTCCGTACGTATGTATGTGATTAATGGCCTCCTCCAGGCTGGGCACAACCTCAATGCAGCACTCCAGTGCACCATACTCGTGCCTCAGGCTCTTCGCCGCGGGCGGTCCAAACGTCAGCTGCTGATTTAGACGCGGTCCCGCATAGATTTTGACCCCCTCACGTTTCAGCATGTTGCAGACATCGTTGAAAATCTCGCCGCTCATTAGATCCTCGTGTATGAGTAGTGTTTCCATTGCATTGCAGGCTATGTCAAATAACGGGATGAGAACAAAAATGCAATTAATTTTTGAAATGAAACGCTTTGGTGTGGAACATTTTCTAATTAAAATGAGCTAAGCATTATTTTCGAAGCGGGCCATTTACGTTACTCTATGCTGTTTGTCTACATTAAATATGAAAACTTGAGTTTGAAGCCGAAGCCACGCACACAAGCTTATATCCAGCAGGTGTTGGTGGAAATGTCCCAAATTAATTCTTACAGAGATTTTTGAAAAAAGGTGTTTCATCGATCGAAAAAAGCAAGAAGGTTTCCATCTATGTTTTACACTTGCGGGTGGAATTCTGCAAAGGTTCTTAATAAAATTTGCATAGGTTTGTCTTTCTATTGCTGGCAGTACATATGTTTCAAACCTCTCGGATCGGATTACTATATTATATAGCTGCCTAGGAGTGATCGGTCGAAATTTAGGTTCTTGTATGGCAATTCATTCTAGATAGTTTCATCAAACTCAGCATTTATGATATTCACCAATCCGACATATGCAAAACTGCAAGACAAATGTCTGCAAGGGTATTAAATCTTCGGCTTGACGACAATATCATTACTTTCTTGTTTTGCTTGCTATTGTTATTGGCACCTGAATTTTGAATATCAAAACCGCTTAACTGCTACGTAATAATATATGAATTATACAATCCGTTGCGGAAAGGGAATATTAAGCTCTCTTGCAATTATTTATTACCTGCTGGATAATCGCATTTGGCATCGCGAGCAATGTGCAATGCCTTGCCCAAATCGGCATCTTTGTCGACAAACACATGGCAGACACCTTCGGCGTGACCCAAGACTGGAATATGTAGGGATTGTTCCTGAATGCTGCGCACCAGTTCCGAGGAGCCGCGCGGTATGATCAAATCAATGTGCTTCTCCATGGACAGCAAGTCGCTGATCTCCTCGCGAGTTGAAACCTGTGAAAGGGCGATTGCCAAATGTTACCCTCATGAAAAAAGAGAGGATTACTAGTACGCACCAGGGATACGGCGTGATCGGCACCCACGCTGCTCAGCGCCTCCTTGACCAGCTCCATGAGTGCCTTATTGCTGTGCGCTGCCTCCTTGCCGCCCTTGAGCAGCAGTCCGTTCGCGGAGGCCATGGCCAGGGCGGCCACTTGCGGCAGCGAGTCCGGACGGGATTCAAAGATGACCAGCAGCACGCCAATGGGCACGGTTACCTGCTTCAGCTCGAGTCCCTCTGCCAGGCGTGTGCGACGCAGTACGCGGCCCACATTCTGCAATAGAATAGAAAGCCATTTGACAAGTCAGCAGCATTGCGCATACGCCATGTGTTTCCATATAAAATAACTGAGTATTTATGGACGCCAATTCTAATCCCTGGCGTCCATTTTGAGGCGATGCAGGCGCACAGTTTTACATAAATCAAGGCGTTTCACCATGCTGTAATCTTTATTTATATTTAATGGGCTGTTGCTGCCCTCATTTTGCAACACAGTCCCCGTTTGGCGCCATAAAAAGCTGCTGGAAATTGGCTGCAGATAACGTGTAGATTGCGAGCGGGCAGACCAGGAGGCGGCATCGGCATCCTCAACTCTGTTGTGCTGACAGCCGGGCGTGGACCTCATGCCTGGTGCCCCACATCCAGAAAATAACCTCAGTCCGAGACTCAACTTGTGCGCCGAGTAAATTTGGTTATATGGTCATTATTATTGACTTTGGCATCGTTGGGCGCAAAACTTTAAATTATATTTACAAAGGGCAATTGGATAAGTCATGCCTAGCTTGAGTTCGAGTCAATTTACAAAATGTTTATTATGCACCGTTAATATGAAGCGTGTAATAACTTTTTCTTTTCGACTTGATGGCCCCTGGGACAAGTCGAAAGTTAACGCTTCTTTATATGTTTCATGACTTAAAATTGAAAACTGAAGCCAATCTTAATTTGAGCACAGTTTTTGGCATTACTTAATAAAATTTGTTTAATATTTGCGCCGAATTATTTTTTCAACTCGAATTAATTTTTTTTACGTTAGATATTTTCTCAGCTTCCTTTTTAAATTCTTTACTGAGCTTATTTTTTTGTTTCTTAAGTGCAATGAAAACACATTTTTTTGCTATGCAACTCTAGCTGGAGTTCATCAACAAACTTGGGCTAGATCTGAGCCCGCCCCCTCGGTGCACCTTGCCTTATCAAAACACAACTTTCTGTATGCTGCCCGGAGGCCAAAAAATGTACGCGGCATTTGTTTGCCGCACACGAATACTTTTTCCCATCCATCTAAGCATTTATTGAGTGCGTTATGGGGTTTTATTCACATTTTTTTTTTCAAGGTTTTCCCTTTTTTTCATTTTTTGCTTTTTATTTTATGATTTTTGCGCTGCTGCCATTTTGTGTCACAATTTCGCTGCCTGTTTTACAATATATGTAAGTGTATGTGCTTGGGGAAAAAGTTTTGCCGGCAAGCGTCGAAAAAAAAAACTTTTGCGTTTCCGCACAATCACATCCAATAAAATGGCTGACTGCAGGAGGATAGGGCGAAGAGCTCGCACTCAATACTCCATCAACTGTTGCCTCTGCATGCTGTGCATGTGTGTGTGCGCGGGTTAATGTCACTGCCAAGACACACACACACACACGCGCGCACACACACACATACAGCTAAGCAGCGTTCTATATGGAGCTGAGCTGTCTTTTATTTCCACTTGCTTAGCTCTTTTAGTGCCCTCTCTCACGCCCAGCTGCTCTGTTCGGGTGTCAATTTTTGTTGAAGTGTAAAATTGCTTGGAGATTTCATAATGTTGTTAAAGCATGAAAACTGTAGCTGCATAAGGACAACAGTTTCCAGTTGTTTCTGTTGTTGTTGTTGTTCTGTGCCATTGTTGTAGGTCATAAAATTACCACTTTGCAGACAGGGGCCAAATCCCAGCGCACATACACACAGGCTGCATGCACAAACTAACTCAATTTTTCAAAAAGTCAACAGCATTTTGAGCAACATTTTTCAACAGCCAAACAAATGCAATTTGCCTAAACTTTTTCAAGGGTCCTGACTTGACTTTTTCACTGTGTACTGTTGGGAGCTGTGATTTTTATTTTGTATTTTTTCGTTTTTTTTTTTTTGCCAATTAATTGCAGCTTTGCTTGGGGTTTCGCTCACCTTGTGACTGTCATCGGCAATCTGCTTCAGGCCAATCGAGAGGTTCTTCAGTTTGGCCGAGTTGAGCGACAAGCGCGACAACAACGGCTTAGCCAGTCCACTTTTCTGCGCCTCGGCCAAGTCCTTGGCATTCGCCTCCAAAATGAATTTCTCGCGGCTAACCAACAGATCCGCCAAATTGCTGACAGCCAAAGCGCGTTCCGCGGCGCTCAGCGCCTGCATTTGACGACTGCCTATGCGAGCTGTCGAATAAAAGAGTTGGCCAAAGTTAGTTATATATCAACAGTTGGCAAAAGTTAGTTTTAGCCTTAACGAAACGATAGTTCAAATTTGGTTTTTTACTATCAAGACAACCCTAAAGCAAGCCAGTTAATGAATACGATCTATAAAATCAAGATACAGTTAAAAACTTTCGACATAAAAGCAGCCAAAAATTCGCAGAGCAAGTGCAAAAGAAATATAATATGTAAAAAGGATTGGATATATATAAAAGAAGATTTGAGAATATTATAGAATAAATGCAGTTCTTAACATGCTTACTTTTAATACTGCTTACCTTAGCATTCAGCTATGCGACTCTAGAGAATTATTTTACTTGCGTTTTCCTGAATTGTATTTACTCCACAAATACATCAATTAATATAGCATTAAAGTGCTATCAAAAAGTTTTTTCAGCAGCAAAAAATATTTCAAAAATAAAGTTTTTGAAGAAACTGGGCCTTGCCTTGGTAAACTTAGTTAGAAACGCGGCCGCGCCTTTTTCTAGTTCGAGCTGTGAACCAAACCGTCCATACTTCCTTTTGAGTTTGCAGCCCTGGCTGGCAAAAAAGATGTAATATACTTTTAACGTCAATAGAGCATAAACTATCTAAAAGAGCATGAGGCATTACTGTCAGCTAGTTTCGCTTAATGCATTCTCCAGAATAGCCCACCGGCTATTTACAGCTGTCCGAAAATAGGATTCAACAAGTTGCAACTAGCTAATTAACAAGCACTTTTGAAGTTGTTTGCCAGCAACATATTTCAGCTGTCTCTAATAACAATTAAATTAAACTTGCTAACTAAAAACTGCAGCACAACATGCCAGTCTGGCCAGGACCCGTTGGCGCCGCGGGGCCAACGACTAGCACTTAGTGCATTGCCACTGGGCAACGACGACGGTAAACCTCAACAGGCAGTCATTGTGACCTCGTTTCTCAACAGCGTCTACACTCGGCAGCTGCATTGGTGTATACTAAATGGCCACTATGTCAGTCAGGCACTTTTTGAGAGTGTCGCCTGCGGCATGTTAGCCCGGGACGGAGCTCGCATTGAAAGCCACTTAACACTTAGCTAACCCGACTGGTTGAGACTTGGCCAAGCTGCTTGTCAAGTGTCAACAAACCAGCCAACTGTATTGCACTCTATTTAACCAACTAGTTAAATCATTCGACGCGGCAAAAACAACTCCAAAAACCTAATTTATATATTATTATATTATATAATATATTTTACTAGGCAGCATTAACTATATCTTTGCTTAGATTTTGTCTCTCACTCTCTCTCTCTCTTTCTCCCTCTCTGGGATCTTTTGTATTTTAACTATTTGATAACTTTTAAGCACACAAATGATACAGATGCTTATCGCCTGGAAGAAAGTATAACGATACTAGAGGGTTGAGTTGGCAGATAGTTTCGCCATGTCCAATAGAAAATGACATTAGAATTTGTCATTATATTTATCTATTTTGATAGATGATACAGAAGCTATAGCATAGCGATACTTAATCAAGATTGCTGCCCTGATGCAAGTTGTTTTTGTAGCTTACATCGAATGCATTAACAAATTGTCATATTGTATAAACATGTTTTGATAGGAAAAGTTTCTACCACATTTTAATGAACCATTTTCTGGAATTCGAGGTTGCCAGCTCAAATCCCAGATCAATCTCTAGACAGAGTGCAGAGTTCTAGACGAGGGCTTTAAAAGCGATGTTCATAGTTAATAGTTAGGATATGGATCCTAGCCCCATTTAAGCCTCATCGCATGCTGTCTAATGTTTTTCTCTTGCAATTTGTTCGCTGCACTCTCTGCTGAAAATTCTTTGAGTCAGTCTCTTCTATTATACCACTTACCATTCTCGGCCATCACCTCGACGGGCACTGTATTGCTGCCCTCCGTTGATTCCGTAAAGAATGTGCCAACTTTTCTGCCACCTATAATTGTCTTAATAGCCTTCTCCTGCATGCCGTTGCATATAACAACGCTGACGCCGCGATCCAGGGCCCAGGTAGCTGCCTTCACCTTGGAGTCCATACCGCCGGTGCCCACCTGGAGAATGCAGAAAGTATTATAAATAGTTGGCCAAAGTGTGAAGGATGCAATAAACAAACAACCATAATAAACACCATTAAGTTGCAATACGGAACAACTGCAGCTGTAATGGCTTCCCCTTCTCCCTTCCCTCTTTCCCCATTCCCCGACTTGTCAACTTGTTCAGAAATTATTGCGCGAGAATAGCAAAAGTTTCTACGGTGTCAACGCGTTTTGTCTCTTAAATATTTAACTAGATTTGCACTAATGCAGATAACTTAGAAGCAAAAAACAGATAACATTCATTGTAAATGTCTGTCACTCGTAACAGGATATAAATAACGAATGAAGTCCTTTCAAGATGCAATGCTATAAAATGCATACAAGAAATCTATTCATATTGGTCGTTGAAGCACTTGGCAAGTGCAAGTGCAACATGTAAAAATGTAAACAGCTTTTATTAGATTGTTTTTCTGATTGATATAGATTTGAGAATTGGATAATAACTATATTAAGCTTCTGTTCGTTTGTCTATTTAAAAACAATTGCTTTGCTCTATGCCTAATTAATTTATCTATGATTTTTCGAGTTTAAATTCGAACTTATGAATTATTTTGTAGCTTTTCTTAATGGTAATATTTACTACAAACGGCCATCATTTCATCACAAGAAAACGTTGAGAAACGTTTCCCACTTTTTACGCTTTTTATCAAAATATACTTTAAATACTAATACCGAAATTGATGTGGACAAGCGTTGATTTTAATACAAATAAAGTACTCACAAAAAGTAAAGCCGATTATCGAAAACCTGCTGTGGAATAGACAGACGAAAGGCCACTCACCTTTGACTTCTTGCCAAACTCGATGCTATTGATATCATCGCTGGTGTAGGTGTGCATCAATTTGGCGCCATCCTCCCAGGGCGGCTTATTATAAATGCCATCGACATCGGACATAAGGATAAGCAGATCCGCCTGCACCTCGGCGGCCAGCATGGCCGACAAGCTGTCGTTGTCCTTAATAGGAATGCCCTGCAAGCAAACAGAGAGAGAGGGAGAAAGCGAGAGAGATCTCAGTCGAGCTGGTTCACAGTCAAGTGCTGCGTTTGAGTACGCACCTTTCTGGCACCACCGGCGGGCTCGTCGTCACGTATAAACATCGGCGGGGAGACGGCGTCGTTCGTGTTGATGATGGGCACAATATTTAGGCTAATTAATTCGGAGAGCGTGGAGAAGAGATTGTTGCGTGTTTCCTCATTGTAGAAATCCGGCTTGGTCACCAGCACCTAAACGCATCATATATCAGAGTTTAAGTTTGCAGTTTTTTAGTGTCTGCCATTCAATTCGGGCTAGCTCGTTACCGACCTGTGCAATCTTAACACCATATTGTGCAAACATCGCATCGTAGAGTGACATGAGACCCGATTGACCCACCGCAGCCGCCGCGCGTGGCTCCAATGTGGCGCCATCGAACTAATGAATAGTCTCAAGCTTAGTGTGAAACTCTAAATTGCAGATTGCAGTGTGTATGTATCACCTCTTTGGTGTCCTTGGGGTTTAGTGTTTCGCGCATCGACAGCGACATCAGCAGCTCCTGGGCCAGTTTCTGTTTACCAAATGCCACAGCGCCGCTGGTGACCATTATGACTTCACGACCCTCCAAATGGCACTCGGCAACCTAGAAAAACTATATGCGTTAGTTGACAGTCACGAGAATAGTTCGGGACTAAGGTCTTAGAGTGTTTTCTCAGATGAAAAGGGAAGTTGTGTACAATGTCATTATTTGAGTGGAAATTGTATATAAGTAAAGTTTCTACTGACTGCTAAAAAACCTAAATTATTGACTTAATTGTTCTTTTGGCTCGAAAGTGAGCACTAAGACGGGAAATATCAACCCAACTTGGTGAGCAACTGTTGTCCAAACTTAATAAATGTACTTTACAAACGTGATGTCAAGCAGGCGAAGGGTTAAAATGTCTGAGCGGAGTCGGACTAACAACCAGGAAGTCGCCGGTTCAAAGCAATATTCTATTTTGATGATTTTCTATATAATTTCCTTTGAAAAAAGCAATTAGAGATTCGGAAAAGTGAATAAAGTGGTGAATAACAATAAATACAATTTCATACGCTTTGTTAGACGAGTAAAGGGCATTAAAACGACCTTGCAACTGCCTGAAGTTACCGCGCTTTTTTAGTAGGACAATGCCTAATTTCATTAAACTTGGTGTTGAATTTTTGCATATTATATGTTCGCGCACTTACCTGCTCCACAATGGACGCCAGACGACCAAGTGCCAATCCATGATTGTCCTCACGCGTGATCACCGCACTGCCCAACTTGACGACCAGGCGACGAGCATATTTCAGCTGGCTACGTTCCGTAAACTGCGGATGGGCCTTCTCCAAGCGCTTCTCAATTGACGGCAACTATAGCAAAATAAAGACAAATGTTAGCACAAATCATGAGCACAGTGCAAAAGTCAAAGGCGACAGCTCGAATGCACGGGAATGTCACTAGAAATGCAGCCTTGGGTGTGAGGGTTGTCGGCTATCAGTAACCATCTTCAAACACATAATAAGGTCGTAAATTACGACAGCAAAGAGCTTGGCAATGAAAGCAGCTAAGCGAGCTCGAGATGGCAATCCAATTAATTAGTCGTTCGCCCAGTTCCTGACTCTAATCTCTAATCATCGAACTTAATCAGTTTTGTGTTCTCGTGTGTGTAAATCATAATTATAATTGCCGTTAAGTCGGGCCTGTAAATATATGTGTCTATGCATAATAAACAGCCAGCAACAGCAGCATTTACAGCTAAAACACCTAATTATCAAGTATTATGTGTGTTAATTGGTTTTTTGGCTAACGGTGCGTATGCGTAATATGCGCTCACTAGTGCAATCCAGTAAATGCACACTGCAATTGCAATAATTGTAAACGATGACCAATTGAATTTTGCACTCGATATGCTTCGCACTTTTCATTTAAATGCCCTACAGTCTACTCAATATAATTGAGCTATAAATTCACTGGCATTTGTTTTCACTCGACATATGACATGTCAGTTTAAATCAAATACGAAATATTGACAATTGTGTGTGCTGCCTTCCGGGCAATAACAGCTAGCCCGATTGATCCCTGACAGTCGGAAATATCAGCTGAGCAAATGTTTCCGTCAACAACCACACGGACCGACACTTAAATCAAAATAAAAACACAACACGTTTGATTTATATATATATTCGTTTGTTGCAACCAATTCAATGCTTTATAAGGCTTACGAGAAATCAAATTTAATAAAATGTTTAACTAAGTAGATTGCAGCATATGTGAATATTTGAATATTTGTGTGTGCTTTCTAATACTGCATTTTAATGCACTTATTTTCAAGAAATTGTTGTATATATCTGATTCGATCTAGTTGATTCAGGCATATGTACAGCCTGCAATAAAAACCTCCATAAATATTAACCCTATAAGTTCGTAGACATTTCCTTCTATGCGCTACGTTTCTTGTGACAAAATTGGAATGCCCTGCAGGAAAACATTTTGCGCGCAGCTTTGATTTATTTATTTATTATGTTTGCGGCTTATTAGTGTTTTTTTTTTTTTTTATCAAAAGAAAATCTGCCCTTATCTAGTTATACGACCGTTATGCAGTTTCTTTCCACGTTTGTTTTTTTTCACCAACACTCAATTCAATTTGTTTATTGATTGTTTAATCAGCGTCGTCGTCGTCGCCATAGCCCTATGCACACTTGAGTGAATGTTCAATATTTTGTTTAGTCTTTATATTGATTGGCTGTGCCCAGGCGCAATAAAAAAAACCCGGCAAATTACTTGTTCTCACATATTTTATAACGAAATCAAAGGCAACGGCAACGGCAACAGCAAAGGCAAATCCAATGCCAATTATTGTACAATTGAACTGTAAATTAAATTGACGCGTAAATATTTTGTTATTTTCGTTACATTAAAACGTCAACATTATAAAGCTGTCAGCTGGCCAAGTAGTAAATGCCGTCCATAAAAATGCTGTAGCGATCAAAAGGTGTCCCACACTTATCAAACCGAAATGGCAACAAATATTTATTTGGTTCTTTGTGTTTTCGATTTGGCTTTTACTTGGCTATTGACCGTTTCGCTTTATTCTCATAGCTCAGTGTATTTTGCTATCATTATATTTTGCCAGTCGCCCAATATATTAACAGCAATCAAACTAATACCATCTATTGTCTGGCTGTCAACGGGCCTGATACATTGCTCTTTGACTGCAATTTGTGCTTTGAAATCTTCTGAAATCTCGAGCAAACAAGACTTGGAACAGAAGACATATGATAAATTAGTTGGGATTGAATATTGGTAAAGATTTGTCTAGCATTTAATGCTCCTGGCCGGAATATGCAGGGTAAAGCCTCTGGTTAACCAATATATCATCGAATATGATCTAATGTTAGAAAGTTAACTTGTTACCATGTTTTAAGATTAAGCACATGCAATTAATTTGCATAAATTTAGATCTAACCTTGGGCCATTGTTTAGTCAACTAAGCCGTCTGCTTCAATTCATTTGTTTATTGTTTGTTATCAAAATTGTGAGCATAGCATGTTGTTGAAAATGATAACATTTGTTGTTGCGTCTGGCAAGAGGTAATACTTGCGGTTCTCTGGAATCCAATTATCAAGCAATTAAATTGTTGACTGCCCAAAAAGTTTGGCTGCTCGCCGGCATAATTTACTGCGTAGGCAGAACCCATAAAACCAGCAATAAAACTTTGAAAAAAAAAAACCAGACTATGCGAAAAGGGAAAAATATCCGGGAAGGGTTTGAATAATTAGAAACTAAAGCAAATAAAGTGGAATAAATGAGAACTATTTAATATTTATATATATATAAGATACAATTTTTTAATTAACTACAAAATATTAGACTTGCAATATCCTGAGTTGGGACTCAAATTTGTACTAGCCAAGAGTATTCAACAGACACATGAGTAATTAATTTCTCGCCAGATAAGTTATCTTAGTAAGTCAATAATTTGGATGATTAGCCACTGAGGATCCGGGCTCGAATCCCATGCAGTTGCTAATGGGAAATATTTTTGGCCGAAGAGCAGGCAGTCCCTATACAGCTCTGTATAGAATTATCGGAGGAAACTATTGGCCATATTTTATATATATAATATTTGTCTTATGGGCCTTATAGTTCATAGTTTTGCCAACTAATGAGGCATTTATTTAAGTTTAATAAAATTCCAAAGCGTTTATCAGCTGCCTCATCAAAAGCCCACAACAGCTGTTTGATTCACGTGCTTTGACGCTTGCTTTTTGTCTATGCTTTACGCTTGTTACGTACTGCCATGTTTTTGTGCTCTGCTTTTTTATGATGTACGGCACATGCACACGCACTGGCCCCAGCTGCTATGGCTCGAACTGGCCCATAACTGCCAACACGTGTCAAACTGGGGCGACGATGACGCCGGCAAACTAGTCAGGCCGGGGCGTTGGGGACGGCTGACGAAGTGACGACCCTGACCTAGCCAAATCGTTTTGAGTGTCAAAGGCAACGCTGGACTAGCCGGACTGGGGACTGCGGACTTCGGGTTGCGGACTGTAGACTGCGTACTTCGGGTTCCGGACTACGGACTTTGCACTTTAGACATATGCAAATGCAGCTGTCGACCCTTGCCCGGGGCCTGGGCCAGGGCCGGTTGATGCATAGTTAAAGGGGTTTTAAGTTGATTGTAAAAGACGGCATTGAATTTCCACAGGCAAAACAAAGCCGTTTGCCATTTCTGCAACACTCGCTAACCCTTCAGCAGCAACTCTCACTCTCGCTCTAGCTTCTTTTCTGACTGTACGTGCGTCAGTCTTGAAATACAATATTTACACTTTACAATTTATTTTAACACGTATACGCCGCACTGTACCAGCAGCTGTCATGCTGTGACAAGGCTTTTTGTGACATTTTATCAGCTTGTCATGCACACAATATTTTTTCACGCTCTGCCACCCGCCTTCCCATTTATACGTTTTACATGTCCTTCAATCCGTACCCAAACTGCAAATGATTTACAGCATGCCCCCAAACCAAAGCCCTAAACATAAATCGATTTTAGCTGCCCATTCAATTAGCTCAACCCGCCCACTTTCAGATCCTAGAATCCTTTTTGCCATGCCAAGCTGTTGCCACTACGATTAGTCATAAAAAAAAGAGCGACAACAACAACAACAACAACAAGAAATACGAAACTGAAATCTTCAACTACATTTTGACTGTTGTTGGCGATTTTATTGAGCTGACTGAGTGCTGATTAAATTTTAGTGCCAAGGAAAATTTTATGCCTAATCTATGAGTGTGCGGTATCCCCAATCAGTCGCTTACATAACATCAACATTGGAGATGGGCATAAAAAAAAGGCAAAACTTTGTTGACTCTTGTCGTCATGGGTCTCGAGGGTCTGTAACATCAGCTTCAATGATGCCAGTAATTTTCCCCCATATTTAAATCAACTTTTTTTATTTTTGCAAAAGAATTATCGCCTTATCAGCTCGCTCATGCATTTTATTCATAATTATGAAAGTTTAAAGACTTTCTCTTTTTATTTTTTTATTTATTTATATTTTTTATATACACACTGCCAGAGTACAGTTCTGTTCGGGCTTTGCATTGTGTTTGGCAATAGAAATCAAAGTCTAACAATTTTATGAGCTCTGCTTGATAAGACCAGAGCAGAGAAATTTAGCTATAGGCAGCCGGGTAATCATATGCGTATATACATTATTTTTCCTAAAACTTTAATTTGAATATAAGTTTTTCTTTTCTCTTTTTTAATAACTAATTATTGCTATCAAGCCTTTCGCAGTTTCGAGTTGGCAAATAAGCAAATAAACAGACAGTTGTCTATCAAAACTGACAGCCCAGATAACAATCAATGCCTAATCGAAAGTAGAATTTAAGAATTCATATATGCTACGTACTCTCCATATTATTTTCAATTATATTTTAAGTGTGCATTGCTAAGTATATACTAACTAAGAAGATTTAAAAGTCAGTTCCCTACGTCAAATCTTGTGAATAGAAAAAATGTATTTTGTTATTATTTAAATAATTTATTTTTTACTATGTAATTATTTATTTATTTAATCATTAATGTTGCTATTTATTTAATAATTACTATTAATGTATTTATTCAATATTTGCTCTACACAAACATCGAACTTTGCCAAAAATTATAGAGGCAAAAAATAACTTCGTAATATTCTGTTCTCAGTGAAAAACCTAATAAGTCAGTCGAAAAGAACCTTCAATGACTTTTTTCAGACTTTGGCCACAAATCAGTAAGCTTTAAACTGTGGCTTTAAGTCTTTATTTTTGCAATTAACAGTTCAAAGTGTACATAATTTAGGTATCCTCTAGGCTCAGCTCTAAAGGTGTGAAGTATATTCAAAATTCGGAGTGTAATTTAAATTTGTATTTTGCGAACCGAGTATACAAATAATCTATTTGAAAACGTTTAATACTTAACGTTCATTTTTTGTTAACATTTAAATGAAATTGTATGTAGTATGTTTTCCTATACACTCACTGGCTGTCTGGGTCCATGGGAACTGGCCGCCCTCCAGGCATTCCTTGCAAAACTGTTGCGCAGTGCCTGGCAGCTATTACGCAGCATTTTGTCTAGTTTTATGTGTATATCTCTCTATAAGTATTGAATAAGGTAAGACTATTGCGTGAGTGCACGGTGAAACAGCTATGGCAGCGTTTGAACGAACACAGAGTATTATGTGTATTTAATCCTGAACAGGATTTGAGCACACGATTATCACAGAAATGCAGCGAAATTAAGGTTTGTGCGAAACAGCGAACGGAGCGGAACGGTACCGTACCGTAAAACCCACCGAGTTCAACTGAAATTCGAATTGTTTTGGACCCGTGCACGCTCCAACCAAGTGACGGGATCCAAACTGACGGACTGCTCCGGTTCAGACTGCTTACTGATAATGAAGCGCAAACATGTGTAATTGTAAGTGCTCATTGCGATTGCGATTAAATTTGTTAGGGGCCAGCCCCTCCACTCAGCTCTCCCTGCCTCTCGCCTTCTCCCACAGTGTCGTGGCTCTTGTTGTGATTCAATTAGAAATGTTATCAATCTCAGGCACAGCAACACACACACACACACAAACACACACACTCTCTCTCTCTCTCGCACACACACATGCTCAGCTCTGTTTCAGATTATGGCAAACATTTACACTTTGAACACGGAGCAGCTCGTCGGCTGCTTATCATATGGGGCATGGGAGAGCTTGGCCGTTATCAGACTGTTCAGTGTTTGCTTGAACTGCATTGTTATTGTAATTATTGTTGCCATTTGCAGCTTGTTGCAATTCCTGGGTCACACATAATGTTCAATAATTGAAGGCAACACATTAAGTTTCATTTACTCAAAAATAAAGAGAGCAAAGCTTGAGGTTGTTTTTACAGCGAATGAAAGCCCTTTCTTCTCCAATTTATTTATTATTATATTTAAATAATTTAATATGCTCGCTGTGGTGGCCATTAAATTCTTTTGGCGACTTAGGCAGAGCAATTAAAAAGTTCGACGGAAAAGTAAAATTGAAATAAAATCGTTTACCTTACTTGGAAATTGAAGGTGCTTCTAAATTGTCTTTGTAATATTAATTGCTTTCCATTTAAAATGTTGTACATAATAGTTGACTGTAAAAAGGTTTTCTTCTGCATCAGCATTTTTATGAATTTTTTAAAATTTACTTATTTCAATGCATTCGTAAAAAAAACATATTTCTAAGGCCCTTAATTATTTTTTATTTAATCAAAAATGACTTTATTTGCATAATATCTGGTATTTGTGTATATTTAATAACACATATCTCAAATAATTAAAAATGGCATCACATGAGAACGCAAATTGATGGCGACAATAGCAAAAAGTTTTCGCACATATTGAAAGGCAACCAAATGTCACTCAAATGGCAAAAGGGCAATGCGAACGCAGAAAAAATTTGATTATAAAATTAATTGTCGCACATATTGTACTATGAATAACAAGTTGTGGCATTTATACGGTCAGCGCAGAGTTCAGTCTGTAGGCCAAATAGAGGGCAGTGAAATAAACTTAATTAACTTATTAAACACAAAAATGCGAGACTTGTTTATTCAAAAAGTGCACTGCGAGGCGGCAGCACAACAGGATATCAACACGAGAGTGCAATGCCGAGGGCATAACAGGCAAAAAGGACACGGTTCATAATCAGTGCACATTGTGTGCAAATATCCTGCAGCTTTCATTTAACTATTTTCGTAAACAACAACAAGAATAGCAACAACGGCAGCCGAGAACAGTTGTCGGACAAGTTGGGTCAGAAGCTGTTGACAGCCAGCTCAGAATTATATTCATAATTAAATGACATTAAAATTAACAAAAAGCAAAAATAAAGTTTTTGTTTTTCCTGTCGTGTCCCGGCCCGGCCGTGTTGTCCCGGATTTCCAATTGCATAGGAAACCCATGAAACACAATAACAAAACCCCAACCGAATCCGTCTACTGCCTGGGGTCAGATAAGTGCAAAATTATGTACCCGCCTGCGGGTTGCATAGTTGCTGGCGAAAAAAAATATATATAAATATAAAAAAAAAATGGCAAAGTTTTTCAATTGAATTTTATGTATTTTATGCGCCAATGCCGTTTCCGTGCTACTTTGTTTTATGTGTTCGTCGAGCGGTTTATTATTTTTTTTGGTGCAGCCGAGAAACTCGGCTACATAAATATGAAAATGTGAATTTTGTGTGCTTGGCCTCAGGCTAAAGGCGCCCAAAGAAAACAATATTAAGCATACGCCGCGTCGGCCAAATTCCAAACAAAAATAAGCTCAATTCTATGGATTTTCTACTTGGACAATATATAATAGCAAAAATATGAAACCTAATTGGACATTCGCCAGAATTTGCTCTACGCAGATTCGTTATAGTTTTCCATGCTTATTTCTTGCGCTCGACAAGGCCAAAAACACCCATTGAAGTCTGAAATTGTTTGCATTTCATAAAATGTGAATGCTTTAAGCCACTGTCCGTATGCCCCACTGCACAATTGTGCCTTAGCTTGTGAATTCTTGTACAAGGTTAATCAATATATTTTTGTGAATATGTATACATATATTGCTGCATCTCTAGCCAAGCGAGCCATTAAATTGAACCGTGCTGCTATTCATTGCGATTGGAAACTTTTTTAAAATCGACTTTTCTATCTTTACGTCTGAGGCTATGCACTAATTGATATTCTCATTCTATTTTTTAACAAAAAGGTACAACATTTTTAATTTGAAACGAATTTCTAATTGTTATTTCCTACAAAGTGCTCAAATTACTTTACTGAGCCAAGCTGATTGCCTTTCATACAATTGCCGTGGGCATTACAAATGTGTTCAGAAAATTAAATTCCATTTCATATAAATATAGAGACATATTATATATTTGGCATATTTCTTAATCGGTTAACATTGATGATTATTAAATTCGTAGCTGTAACAATAGCGTCTTGTTTTCATAGATATTACAGCCAAGCGCTCGATTTATTTGCTTAAATCTGTTTTAAATAATTAGTATAAGAAATTTAAAAATTTACATAAAATTTTGCACATTTTTAATCAATTCGTTTTGAGGCAGAACTTAAGGGTATCTCAAGTTCGTTATACCGAAGACAACTGATGTTTTTTGTCTAGCTAAGGTATTCTATTTTATCTATAGCATTTCCATCTCTTCTTTCATCGACTTTTATATATACCACACACTGTCCCTTCCGGCTTTTTATACCCACAATTCACTCGCCGTCAGTTGGTGCCGCGTTTAATATATGCGCATTGGCAAAGTAGGTTCTAGTCCTGCGTTTCATTCTCTCAGCTAACAAAAGAAAGGAGGTAACGCCAGCCCGAAGATTAAATACCCTTAATGACATATTATCACATGTTATTTTGGACAAAAGCTTTATTTCATACTGATTCTTTCATAATCTGCTTGAACAGATGTTTCAGGAGAATATTGAAGTGCGTATGGCTGGGCTTGCTCAAGATGTCTTGAAATCTAAAAAGTTGTTCATGCAAGAACTTAATATGTGACCGATCATTCCAAGCGCAGTTATATGATATATATAGCCGATGCCAACATTTGCGGCCAAAACTTAGCAAGGCTGATAGAAAATAGTTTCTTGAAATTAGGAAAAATAAAATTACAAACTAATCCAAAATGTAATAAAATGATCTCAAAATTGGAATAGTACGAATGGTGGCCAAAAGCACATTCTTTTTGTAGCATTTGACGCTCTTTAATTTTTGTGCGAGTAAGCTAGAAACTTCGTTTATAGACTTAAGTAGATATCTAGCTGCGGTTTTATACATGCAGAGAAATGGACAGACATGCAGAAGATGGGCATATCATATCGATATATCTACTATATATATTATAGATCCGAAAAAGTTTCATATTTGTTGCACATTTCTTGAGAACATTTTAATACCCTCTTGAAGAGCATGACAAGAAGAGCATTCACTTAAAAAGCAGTTATGCCAACACCTAGGTGCAACAAGGCGCCCCCGCACACACACATACACCCCACACACACACTCGTGTGTTGGGGGTGGGCGGCAGTAAAAAGTTGTGCATTGCAGCAGAAACTTCATCAAATCCTAGCTAATCACACTTTGATTTGCATTTTGCAGCCGGAGGGACGAACTTTCTTAGTTAGCGGCACAAAAAGCGCAGCCAAGGAGCACACTTAACTCTAAGCGTCGCCGCGACATTGATGAATGACGCCCAACAGCCACCCAACCACCCACCCACTCAACCACCCATCCAGCCCCCCATCTTGTAATTATGCTAATGAGGCGAAAGACGTTCCGCTCCTGCAGCATGGAAGTAAGCTTCGCTGACTGCCACTTGAGTTAAATGCAATTAATTATATTTTTTGCCGCAGGGCTTTTAGGTTTAGGTTAGGTTACAGACTCCTATAGTTAGGCTACATATAGATAGATAGTTAGATATATATATATATACTCGTATAGTTTTCAGATTCACATGGGTAATACTGGGTTTTTTTTATAATTCTGTGTTGCCGTTATTGTAGATTTGCGTGTTGCTGCTGCTGAAGCTCACTTTTTTTTGTGCATTGACCACCAGGGGCGGTCGCTTGCCCGTTTTGGGCGTGGGCGTGCCGCCGGGCGTGGCAGCTGCATTGACCTTGGCCACAGAGCGACGCTCCTGGAAGAGTTTCATGGACTTGCGGCTCAAGGGCAGATTCTTCATGTTCAGCTCATCCTCGCTAAAAAAGCGCTTCTCAAAGTTTCTAACCAAATCACTATAATCGCTCTGCTGCTTATTCCGTGTCTCATGCAGCCTGAAGATGGTCTGTCTGCGAGCCAAGCTCTCGCGATGTGCATCGCCTGGGCCCAATTCCAGTTCATCATAGTGATGGGCATCCACATCGTCGTCATCGTCGAACAGTCGCCTGGGGCGTTGCAGCCGACGAGCTATGTGCACCGCGCTGCCATTCAGCTCGAGGGCGGCATCCTCATCGCTCAGCTGTCCATTGGAGCGAAACCAGTCCAGCTGCGTGGTGGCCAACAGCTGTGACATTGTGGCGAAGCGATGGAAGAACATGGCAATAAACTGGATGACCAATATGAAGCCGAAAAATATGACAAAGCAAAGTCCAATGGGATCCAGTTCCTTGTACTGCCTGTAGATGCCCACATGCAGATTGTCACGATCGAAGGACACAAAATCTTTGGGATCTATGGGCCACTTCAAATGCAAATAGTCCTTTTTTAGCTGCAGCAGAAACACGATCAGCACAAAAATTGCATTGACCATGACGAACGCAAAGGCAATCATATTTCGCAGCTCCTTCAAATCGTCGGCCATAGTTTGCTTTTGCTCCTTGCTCAGCTCGAGTGGCTTTAGATACTGCTTGATCAAATCCTTCCAAAAGCGTTGCTCCACCAGCGATATTTCACCCAGCTCCGAGTCGATGAGCAGCGGGTCGCTTAGCCAGCCGGGCAAATAATTATCGGGATCATTGGGCGACTCCTCGCCATCATCTCTGAGCACGGGCGCCTCTCGCGTGCCCCAGCTAACATCGTTCATATTGAAAACCGAATAGATCATCAGCAGCATGTACATCGAGGGTATTGTTATGTAATAGATAACACCGCACAGCAAAGCCCAAAATTCCTGAGGATGCATCAGACCTACATAGGAAGAAAGAAAGTTCCGCACGATTAAAGATACACAAAAACAGCAGGTCTATGGCAAATGCTGTCTTGCTTAACTTGGCTGTCTATTTCTGGGCTTATTGTATAGCATCGAGATATTCGCGAATACAAAATCGCAAGAATGTTCCTTCTAAATCAGACTGTCGATAATTCCTTATAACTTGTTATCAACGAGTGTTTTATACTTCTATGATACTACTCTCCATCTAAGTAATGTAATATAATTTATGGAGTCGCAAACCGGTGTCCCCAAGCTTACCTGCAATTGTGATTTGAACGGCAACCAAGAGAAAGAAGAGCGAGGCAGGCGCCAGCGGACCATCCTCGAGCATTTGAACAATGATGCCGATGAGCACAGCCATCATGACCAGGCAATAGAGAGCGCTGATCACAAATGCAATTAGAAGCTGGAATTTCTGTTTCAAATAAACGCAGCTGAGTATGAAAATGATTATGGGAAAGAAGTTCCATAGAAATGCCGTCCAAATGTCAATGGTAAAGACGGCGACCAGGGCGCCAACCATCATCAGGAATATGGTGCCAGGACCGAGGACAGTGCCAATCATGAGCATGGCCTGGTACATAATGTACAATGTGGATATGGAGTTGTTCTTCTTCACCACGGTGCGGGCATCGGCCAGGATATCGAAGATATTAGCTATTGTCGAGGGCACCCAGCGTCGGCGTTGATTGTAGAACTCATTGAAATACTCCGGCGAATGGGTAAAGGCATCGGAGGCAGCGCAGTATTCCACGCGAGAGCCCTGTTTAAGCAGCAGCGTGCAAAGCCAGCGATCCTCGCCCTGATCGTATTGCACCATCTTCATGGCCTCCGAGCTGACCAGGGTGTAACGTTTCATGACACTGTTCTCCATTAAGGCGCTGGCGCGAAAAAGGCTAAAGCAGCCCGGACTGCACAGGACACAGCCAATTACATGCTCTGTGGCCTTTTGCAGCCAGTGTCCAATCGCATACTCGAATTTTTGATACCACACCATGGGCCCGCGACCGACAGGATGTATGCGTCCGCAGGCGGCGCCCAGCTCATCAATTGCCTTCATGCGGTCAATGAGCAGCTGCACAGCACGCGGCTGAAAATCGATATCCCCATCTAGCGCCAGCAGAAATGTGTTCTCCGCAATGACAGCCTTGCGACGTGCCGACAGCTGCTCCGTTTCCATGATGCGAAAGCCCAACAGGTAATACATGTACATGACCTGCGACCAGCGCTTCTTGTGCCGTATTTTGTCCTTGTTCTTCAGATGTGCCACCATTTTGGTGCGTCCCGGCAGTGTCCAGACCAAACGGCCTCCGTACGGCGTTTCAATCTTCAATGGCGGCTTGATTTTAATATTAACGCCATAGATTTCGAAAGCAGCCTTGTCTATAGTTCGTGTCAGTGTCTTCACGTACTCATTGAGTGGAGGATTCCGTTTGTTCTGACAGTGTTTCTCGTCCAGTACAAAAGCATCATCAAAGAATATGTTAGCTACAAAGTAAATGAAAAACGACGGGGTTAGGGCATGAAAGTATGGATTCAAACTCAATTCTACTAATTTATTTGAATCAGACTCGAATGCTTAATCGATTGAACTGCAAACCGTTAAGCAGAGTTTTAATAATTCATTCTCGATGTTTGATCTGTTCGAGCTAGCAACATGTTCCAGCCACGAAGGTCGAGCTACTTGAGTTAGCAACATGTTCGAGCTACATGTTCAAGCTGTTGCCGCCGAGGCGCTCTGGCTTGAGTTGTGCCAGACAACCTCGTTCGATTAGTTGGAGCTTAATTTCACGACTGAATCCGTTTTTTATCTGCAACTCAAACAGCTAGAGCCGAACAATTTTGAATCTAGACTCAAGTATTCGAAACGTGTTCGAGTATTCGAAACGCGTTTCAGCATTGACTCAATGCAGGGTGAATACTCTACTGAAATATTCAAAGACTTAAGAAATTTATATATAAAAAAAAAGGTTGGGCGGTAACTTTTGGCTAGACGCCATTTTGGCAAGTGAATCCGGAAATGAAGACGCCAAATGCTATAAATATTCGCCAAAACTATTCTCACAGCTGCTGCATACTTTTCGGCAGCAGTGTATTTGGCTTGCATAGATTTATAATTTGACAGGCATTTTTTTATTTTTTCGGAGAATTTATGTGGCTAGGCAAAGCCAAAGCAAATACATTTTCCATATGCATATCAATGCGAGGCCAGGACAACAACTGCCGACGACAGCGAGGCACTCAGAGCTGTTGAGTGTTGCGGTGGCAGGTCGAGGATTCGTTGCTTATGCAAAATTTGAAATATTTCTAGTTTCGATTTGGCAAGAGAAAAGGGTAGAAAAACTTGAAATGCAGCTGAATGCACTTGGCATATTTACATACTTTCCAATTCATAGTATTCATCATCCGCTTTGCCGCCGTTTAGATGCGTTTTTGCCATTCGCCGTGCGCATTGATCCTCATCCAAGCGTACAATTGATTTCAGAAATTCTATCATCTCCTCCTCGGTCTCGTGCCACATTGTTGCACAAACAATCAGTTGCGGTATTTTATCCTGCTCCTGTATATCGCGACTGGCATTAATGTCGGCAGCCAGGGCCAAGACTGGATCTCTGGGTGTCGTTAAATCGCTCTGATATGCAAATCACAATTATATTTTTATTAAAATAGTTATCAGGAATAAATCTTATAATCTTATATAAAGTTTTCGGGGAAATGGAAAATAATTAATGGCTATCTATGAAAATTTAATGAACTTTTGCGAATTTGTCTGTTTGTTTAAATACATGTGGCTGAGAAATACAAAAGTTATATTTTTGACCGATGTTTCCTAGAAAATCTTCATAATCTAACCATCCAAAATTGCCTTTGGACAACTTTTAAGCTCGCAGTTGCTGAGTTTGTTAAACATATTTTTTAAATACAAATCAGTTTTCCACTTTTCGCGTTTCTTACTATGGCAACCATATGATAGAGTAAGTCAATATTGAAAGCATTTTGCATATGTGTAATAAATAATATTGAGGAACAAATTTGAACTATATTTTCTAGTGAAATGATATAGTGGTCGGATCAGGTGTACTCCGACAACATGTATGTAAAGTTACATGACAATAGCTTTAACAGTGAGAGACTTGTTCAGATAGAAACAGAGTTATATACAGCAGGAATATATATATATATACCTCATGGAAACAAAATCATAATACATTTACTAGAGCTTCTCCACTTTTATGTACATTTAAGCTTTAGTATACGGCTGAGAACTTTAGCTAGCTTTCAAATACCTGCGCGGCTTTAAGTAAATAATTCACAGCTAGTCATATTTATAATCCTCAAAATCAACAACTGCGTTTGGATTTTAATTAGTTTTGCGTGTTTCTGTTATTCTTTTAAGCCAGCTACATTGACGTCTAGCAAAAACACAGCGTGAACCGCACGCACAGACCAAATTTGTAGCATATTTAATTAAGTTTACATTGACAAAAATTCGACTACATGCGCATATGTTTACATATTTATGTGTAGGGAATGGGAATGTATATGTAGGGAATGGGTAGGCATAAATATACACAGAACTTTGCAGTTTCCCCGTCATTTAACTTAATTACAACGCCTAATACTTGAAGCGAAACACGACACAGTCGAAAAGTCCTGTAGATGTGAGATTGAAAGATGAGGGAAGCCAGACTAGGCGGCGGGGAGTGTGTGGAGATGTATGGGAGGATGTGTGTGATAATAAGCAGCAAGGCTCTGTGAACCGTTGACGCCTACGACTCGAACAGAATGATTGATGTTAACGCCTGATTACAATAATTCTCTAAGATTCAAGATTCAAGTTGAAATCACAATTTGGATTCGTTATGCGCAATTAATTGCACAGAGAACCTACCTTGATGGCCAGGTACTCATCGCTCCAGTCGAGAATGCGGCGATTCATCATCGAGCACTGATCCACGAGTAGGCCACAGTACCATGGGCACACGTACAGCTTCTCGGTGGGCGCGTTCTTATCGTTTCTCGGCTGCCAGATGTGCAGGCACGTCCAGATTTGGGCGAGCCACCAAAGTGGCCACAGCCACAGCGCATACTCCAGGCTCAGTGCGCCCAGCTGACCCAGATCCTGGGCAAGTGGCTGCAGCGTCAGGTAATCGGGCAGCAGGCCGTGCAGCGAGCACAGATCAGCTGCACGCATCTGCGCCAGCAATGTGGCCACACAAACAGTTACCGGCGCGGCCAGGTTGAGCGGCAGCGCGTAGCTAAAATGCTGTATCTTAATCTTGCACGCGAACTTGCCGAAAATGTGGCACAAATAGGCAGCGCCCACCTGCAGCAGCAGTGCGTAGACAACGGCCCTGTTGCTCGATTGTAGCGTATACTGTCCCAGCGATGCGGGCTTGATAAATGAGGCGTTGGTCGTGTGTGCCAAATTTAGCGTATCCTGCAAGCCATCCGTGTGCTGGAGTCGATGTCATCAATGGGAGTCAAAAGTCAACACATTTCCATCTAATGAGCATCACTTACCGTCAGCGTTATGGTATGCGATTGCCAAGCCTTGACGAACAGCGTAAAGTAGTCGAAGAAATGCTCGCCGTGCAACAGAAAACCCATCAAGCCAAAGACGGCAATTTTAAGAGGTGCCAGATAAAGGTACGTGTGGTAGCGGGACCGAGTACAGCGTATATTGCGTATTATATAGGCTAGAAAGTATAATAATAATGGAATAAAAAGTAGAGTTATAGTTAACTTAAATAATGTTCACAACTATTCATAACTATACAGTCAATATGTAGTTGAAATTCTATATTGTATTACCGAAACAAAATGCCTTAAAAATTAGCTCAGGCAAGTTTTTCCAGGTACATTGCAAAGTTCGAGCTTTATTATGAGGATAAATTGTGATAAAGGTTACATGTATTGTTATGTTCTAAGCTACTTAATTTTTCATGAGGATATCGGGAAAAACTATATCGTTTAAGGTTGTAATGGTAAATTGCAAATATAAATTATTCTTGTTACCTTTTTCAATGTAAATGATTGAAATTAACAGTGTAAATAAGCAATTAACAGAAATCGCCAATTGTTGCCTTATTTGAACCAGCGATCTTTCCGCTTATTGGTGCGACGCCTAAAGCACACTTATCGGTTGTGTTGCTGTTGGTTGTTGATGTTTACTTGGTTTTCCATGCATTTCTACACAAACCTTGTACAACGTTTTTCCCCACTTGCAGGTCGTATATTTCTTGGTTAAATTATACCCCAACTTCGAACCAAAAAAAAGCTTCAGTAATAATATCATCTACGTACGCTGTCACTCACTTCTATATAAAGCTTAATTTATTTATTTGTTATAAAAACTATTTCGTGAACACACTTACATAGTGTGTACCACTGTGCCGCATATTGTCTATCAGAACTGTGATTCAATCAGTTCACTCACCTATCGCCTCGTGCGTATTGGCAAAGTTCTCCCACCAGCGGAACGAGACCAACAGCAATGGTATTGCCAGCAGCTGTACCTCCAGCTGCGTGGACATGGCTGGCCAAATGAGAAAGACGCTGCCCTGTGATATCATCGCCAGTATGGAGGTGCCGTATACAAACATGTCCGCAGATTTCCAATGCAAACGTGTGCCAGTCAACAGGTCTGGGAAAAAACAAGTATATATAAATAGTGTTAAGCAAAACGGAATGGCAATCAATTTAATTGCTGTCAGTCTGGCCGACAAAGAGGCTGATAAGACGACAGAGATTCTAGATGCCAGTTGCCAGATGCTAGTTGCCAGATTCTAGATGGTAGATGGTAAATGTGTTACTCACTGAGCAGCGCGGGCACAAAGCAGACGCAGCAGCCCAGCATTGCAGCACGGGTGACATCCAGCTGGGGCAGCACGGTGAAGGTGAGCAGGGCCAGGCCAACGACGTGCAGCAGCTCGAAGAGTGTGACCTGATTAGCGACAAAGGCAGTGTGACCTTATCAATCATGGAAGGCACAATAAATACCCAAACACATTACTCACCAGCGTCACTTCCAGTCCGCTGGGCCGGCGCTCTCGCTTGAACATGGTGATGCGCAGGGCGCGCAGAAAGGTGAACAGCTCGGGTGCGGCAAAGGCAAAGATCAGGGCCCATACCCAGGCAATTTGTTCCAGTTTGCTGCGCACTGCCATCACCTGGCCATCGAGTAGAACTGCATAAAGGCGGGGCCACAGAGAGCAGCTTATTAAACGTAAACCGGAGAGCATAGCTTGTCCTTGACTTACGGTGTTTGCTGCACACTCGCACCTTTGCATCGCCATTTGTATTGCCAGCCATATACAAATAAATCAGATTGGCTGCCACGCTAGAGCCCAGTACCACACCAAACACCAGCAGATAGGTGAAAAGCTTGAAAAGTTTGAGGAAAAATTGCAACTTTTTCCAGTAGGCATCGGAGCCACTTGTACGCTTCGCTGGCGGATCTTGAAATGAGTCCCACAGCGGCGGCTTATCGCGCACTTTCCTAAGGGCAATATAGTCATGGGTAATTAGTAATTAAATTTGTTCTTTTAGTCGTTTTGTTTTGGCCAAACAACTAACCGACTGCGCACAAAATAGTCACTCTCGTAGTCCGCACTCATGTCTATAGGCGACCATTCACGTTTTCCAACTGAATCGCAATGCAGTCTCGCCCCATTATTGATGAGGCAGATAAGTTAAGGTTACGAATCGGCGATATCATCGATGTGCGTAAGTTGACAGCATGTCAACAAGACTCGTCCGATAAGGCCCGCCATGGCACAAAGATCTCTTGGCCCATGAGCCTTAATTGTCACTCTCATTAAATATGCCCATTAATGATAGCTTTTCAACATTTCATATATCTATTTTTTCTATATTTGCCATATTCAATAGCATTTGGTGTGTTGCATTCTAGGTGTGTTCCGCTTATCAATATGGCTCTGTGAATTCGCCGATTTCTTGTAAATGCAATCAAATAGTTTTTAATCTTTAATGTAGTTGGACGATAGGAGCTCTACATATATAAATTATGTAAGCTCAATAAGTATCAGAGCCTTTTCAAGTATCTCAATGCTTAACGGAAGCAGTTACCCACTACTTGAGAGCTGTCAATGAAATAAGCTAGCTCTAAAGTTGAAAATTTAAGTACGGCCTCGTGTGCTATAGACTTTCTTTACGCTGGAGTAAGTGTTTTGATTTATACTTATTATATTTTACTGATTACCAATCTTATTGAGGCATAACATTGAGAGTCCATAGTATAAAACAGATGGCGCGACAGAAAATTGATTTACAAACTTTTTAACTGTTTTTAACTTTTAGCTTTATTTAAGAAATTTCAAAATCCTTTAGAAAATAACATGTTTTTAACACCATAATTAACAATTTATTTAACATTCAATAATTGACTTCACCAATTTAAAATATTAAATACAGTAGTAAAAGGAGCAACAAACCTTACGGACTGATATTATAGTTGAATCTACAGGCGACCCTTTGACCCTGCCTTCAATTTAACGCAAGCTGCCATAAAGTTTGATCTGCAAAATGATAATTACGATTCTCAGATCAGAATTTCGCGTCTTACTCATAGCAGCAGAAACCCTGTTCTTTTAATAGTTTAAAAAGTATCTAGGAGTACAATAAATTGTGGTATAAGATAACCATGCACAAATTGTAGCATACTTTAGGCAGTGCCGAAATGGTTTGAGACACAGCTAAGCGGCTAACTGCTTTGCACTGCAACAGATGGCGCCACTACATTTTGCTGTGTCTTGAATAAATATTTATTGCCAACTGAGCTTAACTTGTAAAATATAAAATATATATATGGTATATATGTATATATATATATATATATATAAAGATATAAAGACAAATAATGAGAATCGACTTATTATTTAAAAAATATATATAATTATATATAAAGCCATGTACATAGAATATAAAAAATAAATTGTTGTGCGTGCCATGGCAACCTCTGTGATCCGAGCTCCTCAATTTGTACTGGTGGCTCTTCTTCGTGCTCTGCTTTTCTTATTTACGATCTTAATGCTCTACACTGTCTGGAAACATAAGTTATTCCTTAATGCAAAATTTATTTAGTAATACATTTAATAATAGCCTCCTTTTACTTAATAAGATAATAAGGGTACACGCTATAATATATTCAGAATTTGTTTCTTCTAGTTGCTCGCACAAAGAGTGAACGGGCTAATTTTAATTAATATAGGTTTAGTTTTATATAAAATAAAAAATACTATACAAAAATAATCGACACTTTCACTTAATACTAGACACAGTACAAACTTATTAAAACTCAACAACAAATGCATTCGGCTTGGACAAAATAAAATCTTTGGCAATCGCAAAATTGCTAGCAAACATTCGAACCGTGCAGTTCGTTAAAGTGAAAATTGGTCAGCACAATCTTCTGGGCGTCTCCTGCTCCTCATCCTCCTCGTCCGTACGTAATTGGCGTGCGGTATCCAAGTCCCGAGCATCCTCCATTGTTGTGGGCAGCACTTTGTCTGCCGTCTCGGGAAAACCAAGCGTCAGAAAGCCGCTGACCAAGGCAAAGGTAGCAAATAATATTGAAGGCGCATGTTCATAGTATTTGGCCTAAAAAGAACAAGAGTAAGCTGGGCAATAGAGGTAGACTGTGTCCTGGTACTTACCAGCAATGGGGTTTGCGGCGCTAGCATAGAGCCAATGCGGCCGATCATGGAGCAAACTGAGAGCAAACTATTCCGCACATTGGTGGGAAAGATTTCCGAGGTAAAAAAGTACAAGATCTGAAAACTACACGTAATAGCCAACTTTCCAATGAGGAACAACGTCAGGGAACCCGCATAGTCATCTGAAAGGGCAACAAATTTGAAGATTTATCAAAGTTAATACAAATTCCTTTGTATCTATAAAATAGTTTGATTGAACACTTTGATCAACAAGGTTTGGAAAAACAGTGTGGGAAAAATGTCTGAGCGTCGCTCAAGCAAATGAGAGGTCGCCGGTTCAAATTACAATTTTTGTACTTGTTATGCACAAAAAAGGGAATAATATTGTATTAAGAAATACCTCAAATAAATGGATGATTATTGAAAATGTTGAACTGTCTTAAATTCAAATGTCTTCAGAATGTTTTTTTTTTTTTAATTTCAACCCTTTCTCAGGCAAGTGCCGAGCAGCAGATTGAGAAGCATATTGGGCTCAGTGTCATCATGTCTTTTAAAATTTTAAATAATAAAGTGTGCTTTTATTTGAATATAAGCAGACTTACCTGAACCGACAGCGGCTGAGGCGCCCATACAAATGGCGCAAAGCAGCATTGAGGCGCACAGCGAGTACCTTCTGCCAATGCGATCCATTATGATAAGTGGCAGCAGTAGGCCGGGAATTTGCACAAAGCCATTGAGCATGAAATTGTTATATTTGCTGCCGCCCAGATTGACCGAATTCAAGCTCAGTCCGAGGGCAATCAACGTGTGTGTGAACCAGCAGAAGCAACAGTTGGCAATACGCCAAACGAAAAAGCGAGCGGCCTGCATAATCGGATACTGGCTCTCATTGGCCTGCTGCAGTTTCTGGCGATTGTTGGCTAGCAGCTCATCCACCTGCGCCTCCGGCAAAGGACGCCTATTGATTCGAGCCGCACGCCGCAGCACTTCAGCCGCTCGCTTCTCCTCGCCCTGGCTGAGCAGCCAGCGCACGCTCTCGGGCAGAATCCAGAGGAAGACAATTTGCAGTATGGCTGGCGCATAGAGGCAACGCAATAGCCAGCGCCAATTCTGCACATGTGCTGCCAAAATGCCCAGACACGCCTCTCCTATTGCATAGAATATGGTGATAATGGTGGCAGCAGCCACACGACGCTTGGGACCCACCAGCTCGATGGCCAGCAGGAAGGCCGTGGGAAACAGGGTGCTGCCCACAACCATGTCGAGGAACTCGAAGCACAGGAACATATAATAATTGCTGGACACCGAACGTATAATGCCCATGAGGGCGCTCAGAGCTCCGGCCACTGCCAACATATTGCGACGACCATAGCTAAGCAGAAAATAGTTCGTTTTAGTGTTCGATAAATGATTGCAATTATCTAACTTACCGATCCGCGAAGAAGCCACCCAAAGGTATGCCCACAAACTGACCCACATTATTTATGGTGCCCACCAAGGAGAGTTTCCACTCGTCTTTGCAAAAGATGCCAAACTTTAATCAAAATAAACAGAATGATAAAAAATGTAAAAATAAAATTAAATTAAAAGAAATGAATAAAATACGTGATTTTATTTAAGTTTATTTTTAATTTTGCTAAAGGACAAATGAAATTAAAAACATCACATTCATTTATATTGAAAAAAAAAAAAAAACAAGCAACAATCGTTTAAAATATTGTTATTTTCTTATTTACAGAAATTTAACGAATTGTTGAATCAACTAATCATAGAAAATTCCTGGAAATTCGGCAACTACACAAAAACTTCAGAAAGAATGTAAGTTGATTAATCTTGTAGATTTTATTTATTTATTTATTTTGTTCAATTTGAGTCAACGCAGCTTTCAATATTTTACAAATATTTCAATGATTAAGCAACTTTGTGAAATTATTTTTCAACTTGAATATTTATTTCTTCTTACACTCACCATGAGAAAGCTTGAATAAATTAACAAGCACGGCTTGAAACTATCTTGGAATACAAAATAAGTCTATTTCCATTACAAAAATCATCAAATCGGCCAATATAATAATTTCATAGAATTTAACTCATAGAAAATCAGCATTATTTAACTAGCAAATGACGAGCTTGGTCTAGATATCTAGATAAAGAAATAAGTTTCCCATACAAGAAGCTACTTTTCGACTGATCATTCCTATGACAACTATATGATATAGCCATCCGATCCGGCCTGTTCTGCCATATGTACTGTACTATGCAAAGATCGAAGACTAGCTTTAAAGCTGAGAGACTCGTTCGTATAGAAAAAGACTGACGAGGAGATGTTATTTACAAGAGCTTAAAAACCGAAGCATAAATAAATCCCAATAGATTAATCGATACCTCTTTGAAAATATGTCATATAGAAGTTTATGCTGAATATTTACCTCAGTCGATATGGTTTTCTCTTCGTCGCGAAATTTGAAATCTGTGCCGCAGCTTTCGGTAGAATTGCCAAAATACTCAGCGGCACACACATCGCTCGAGGGAGTGCTGAATACACTGCTAGACTCCGATTCCAATAAGTTCACGTAACGATTACACGAATCCCAAGCGGAGTTCTTATAGGGCACTGTGAAATTCAGCCAGGACTCCTCATACGAGCTGGCCGGACTGTCACATTGCGTTATATTGCATCTAAAACGTGTTTGGATTTGGTAATTAAAGAGACAAGCAGAGAGAGAGAGGGGCAGTGGGAGATGAAGAGGGCATGCTTGCCCCTAGAACATACCTGTGCTCCACTGTGCTGGCGGTAAACACATATGAGATCGAAAAGAAGGCATTGAACACCATGGGCACACATAATAGCACATAATTAATTATCTGAAACCGTCCGAACTGCCCGATCCGCACCAAAATGGCATCCAGCGAGTTATCTTCACCAGCGGCTGCCTCCACATGCTCAGCCTCAGTCGCAGTTCCAATGGCATGGCCATTGCTTCTCCTCAGATTGTCGTTGCCAGCGTCGGCGGCGGCGGTGCCACTCCCCTTTTTGCCAGACATGTGGCCGAATATTATATGATAAACTGACTTTCAGTAAATATATCTGTTTATTTATTTTTTATTTTCATTTATTTTTATTTTCAATAATTTTGTATTTCATCAATTCCGCGTGTACAAATGCACTTTTTAGTCGACGCGCGTTTTATAAATATGCCGCAAAATACGTGAGCTTTTTATAGCCCCAAATACGTATATAATTTCGTATAGTTTTTAATACGTTCTTACGTCTCCGTCACGGAGCATCCGACTGCGAGCAATGCCGCTCATTGACTGATTCGTTCGCTGCGCCCATCGCATCGACCCCTCTACTTAGCCAAATCAATTCACATTGATTTTCAACCTGTGTTAGAAATAGTCTTTACATTTATGTAAATCTGTTAGAAAACAAGATTCTACAAATATCTTTAAAACAACAATTTGTGTTATCTCTCTCTTAAACTCTTTATGGGAAATGGTAGCACTGAGATCATATAAAAAACTTTTGACAAAATTTGTATAAAACTTTTATAAATTTCAAACATTCTATGTATACCCTATATTTTTCAATACTTAAACATAATAATGGGATCATATTAAAAAGCGTTTTTACAAATTTGAGACATTTGCAAAAATGTATTTTTTATTTTAAATCCCATGCAAGACTTCTCCCTGAATTCCTTTAAGCGTAATGATAGAAATGGAATCTTAAAAAAAACCAAATCAAAAATTAAAAAATTCGAATATATTCTCTGTGATATCTATTTTTTTAAAACTTCTCATGAGCAGTGTTAAAAATGGGATCATATAAATAAAAAAAATTGTTCTCTGTGATATACATATTTTTTAAAAGTCCTCCTCCTTATAAAAACAAGATCATATAAATAAATAATATAAATAAAGAAAAATGCTTCCTAGTTTTATCTGAAACTCTCTCAATACGCTAATGATATTTGGCAAGAGTATTTTGTGTGCGGTCTACATAGAATGCTTATTATTTTTTTTGTTTGTTCAGTTCTGTTTTGCTCCGCTTCGCTCTTGCCTGATTACGACACTTGACGGCGTGCACGCTTTAGATACGAGATCCGCTCTCCCTCTCATGTTTACTACGTGCCTTCAATCCTCTGCTCTCTGTGCCCCTGTCGCGTCTGCTCTTATCTTGACCTTATCAACTAGTTGCTTAATTTCGTAGTTGATTCTGTTGGCTCATCGCATTTGCCGTCTGCACCGAAGACCCTAAATGGCTTCAACGCATGATTATTGATTGATATAGAATATAATGTCAATTTACAACGTTATTATCGCCGTTTATTGGCTCTTATCAGTGGGCGCCGCGACATAATGTCTGGTACCAGCAGCTGCTGCTGTCTGTATTGCTCTAGCCACAATTCTGAATGGGTCATTCATCTTTTTTGCTTACCTGTGCAATTCAGCTTAGTGCCTGTTCAGTATTATAGGAAGCCCAGCTTTCCGGCATTCCGCTCGAAGAAATTTAAAATCTACTCTATATAAAAGAGTTTCAAAATAATCCTATTTCCAAACTCCATTAAATTCCCAATACTGTGCGAAAAGTGTGAAATATTTCTGAAATGAATTTACATAAAGATCCTTAGATTTAAATTTAAGCCCGAAATCCAAAATATCCATTTCCACCAATAAGGCGTGGATTTTCCGAAAAGTGTGAAATACTTCACACCGAAAATGATTTCTACAACCGATACAATGGTAAACAAAAATGTTCAAGATTTTCTAAAAATTTCGGGTGGATTTTCGTGCACTCTAATTTTGGAAGGCAACTGGAATAAAAATTGCTTCTCAGTTCCTTCGATTCGTACGTTGATCGACAATCATTCAGTCTGTCAGGACAAACAGAGTTTCAAACATACATCAAAAACAAAACATAACCCAAACAGTAAATAAATCATGTATAATGCGTAATACTAACTGTAGTACATATATCTAACACTCTGAACAGTTTGATAAGATCTTGGAATTTTTCAATGATATATAGTGGCGCATAAAGATAAGTCTAGATTGGCATTGATGAATGAATGGATAAATCAATAAAATATTAATTGGAAATCAATAATAAATAGTTTATTAGGGAAATAGTCGTTGCTCGTTTTGTTGCCCAATTTGACTGCCATTTTGTATACTAAATAATTTGTTGATCGATAATCCAATTGGAAATGATAAGATTAGCAAGTAATTGAAAAGATTTGTCGCCAAGTGCATGCATTATCTTATTACAATAAATACGAGCCGAACCGTTTCAAGTATTCGACACTCTATACACAATTCAATATTTTTGCATGTCATTCAACACGACAATCTGGTAGACAAGTATTTACAGCAACTAATTGAACCCAAATATACCCCAGACATTGCTATTTTCAGCTGATTAGGCAGCAGTTTTTGTGGCTGCCGAAACTTTTGGTTGTTGACTTCTGTCCAGGGCGCGAGCCTCCTCCAATGTCGTGGGCAGCACTTTATTGGAAGTTTCAGGAAAAAAGAAGCTCAGCACCGAGCTGAGAATGCCAAATGCGGCGAACAGCAAATGCGGCGCATATTTGTAATAGTAGATCTAAAATGAAATATCATGTTAATAAGGCATCAGCCGCTTGTCAATTGTCACACGCACCAAAAGCGGCGTTTGTGGCGCCAACATGGAGCCAAAACGACCCACCATCGAACAGAAGGAGAGCATACTGTTGCGGCAGCTGGTGGGGAATATTTCGGAGGTGAAGAAATACAGCGTCATAAAACTGCCCGTCGAGCACATTTTGGCCAGAAAGTACAGATACCAAGACAATGTGGAATAATCTATAATTAAAGGAAATATTAAACTTCATCTTATAAGAAATGAAATTAAAAGTAAGAGGACTGCAAACCAATAAAAATGGGCATATACTCTGAGGATATCCAATAATTGGGGCCCAAATTTGAACCTAGGTTCGCTCAAAATCTTTTATATTAATATATTTGGCAACTGGTTCGAAATAAAGCTCGGAATATGCTTACAAATAAATTGGAATTGCGGGTTTTAACCGGTTCGGTTCGAAGCGTGTTTGCAGTCTTGATAAGTAAATAAATTCTAGAAAATGCACAACTTTGATTTTCCGGCTGAAACTCACCGTTGTCCAGAAGTGCCATCACAATAAGTAATAAGGAACAGGTGCTCAGAGAGAGACTCAAGGCCCAGCGCCTGCCAATGCGATGCATCAGCAGGGTGGCAACCAAAATGCCCGGCAGTTGCATTAATCCCGTCATGCTAAAGTTATCAAACTTGTTGCCTTTCAATTCGGTTGCATTCAGGCTTAGGCCCAGGGCTATAAACGTGTTGCTGAACCATAGAAAGCAGCACTGAGCAATGCGCAGGCCGAGTGCACTGAAAATTTGACGGACAGTGTAGTGACCACCAGATGTCTCGGATTCGGCCAACAGCTGGCGATTCATGCAGACCATTTCACTGAGCTGCATTTCGGGCAAGGTCCGTTTATTAACACGCGCCACCTTGCGCAGTATCTGAACGGCCTCCATTTCCCGAGATTGGCTCAGCAGCCAGCGTACGCTCTCGGGTATGTAGCAGATGAAGAGCAGATGCAGTAGCGCCGGCGTGTAGAGCACGCGGAGCAGCACACGCCAGTCAAGAATTAAGCTGGCCAGATAACCCATTGCCGCCTCTGCCAGGCCGTAGGTCAAACTGATGACCATGGCGGCCACAACGCGATGCTTGGGCCCGACCAGCTCGATAGCCAGCAGAAAGGCGGTGGGAAATAGTGTGCTACCCACCGCCATGTCCAGAAACTCAAAGAACAAAAAACTGTAATACTCGGGCGCATGGGAACGTGCGAGGCCTGCCAGAGCGCTCAGAACTCCAGTCACCACGAGCATTGCCTTGCGTCCATAACTGCAAATGAAAGAGTATGATTTGAGACGGTTTTTTTTTAATTAGGTATATTGACTCACCGATCCGCCAAATAGCCTCCCAGGGGTATGCCCACGAACTGGCCAATGTTGTTCACCGTGCCCACCATGGAAAGTTTCCATTTATCGGAGCAAAAAATGCCAAACTGCAAACCAAAAGGTATAATTGAATATACAAATATTTAAATTAGTTGCTTAGAAGTTGAGCCCTAATTCAATTGTTGTTCGCTCATGGTCTAAGCAGGTCGCTGGTTCAAATTCAGCGAGAATTTTTAATGTATATATTCAATTTGCAAAAACCTAATAATGCTGCTGGTAAATTGAGGCACTTTGTAACTGATGTTGCCGCATTTGAGCCTACCGACGCCGGTTAATTTCTTCTAATTTTTGTGCGATTATATGGATATATATTATATATGTATAACCAACCCCAGTCTCTGATTTTTGATATGCCAAATTATTAAATTAGCAGAATTATCTCACTATCGAATTTTTGCCTCAAGCAATACCTATGTCTGTTATACGAAACCTAAAAGTTTGGCTTTACTTTACTTCTTCTCCTTTTCTTACGATGCCTCCAGATTGGAACTTCATAATTAGGTACCTCTTACGGACGAATATTTTTTCTAAACTGTTCAAAGTTAACTTCACAAAGTGAGACTTACCTCTGAGGCAATGGTTTCCTCGTCACCCCGCAGCTTATAGCCCGCTTCGCAGCTGACCGGATGACTGCTATTGAAATGATGCTCCTCACAGAGGGCTCCATTTGCCAGAGTTGTCTCAAATTGGTTACATTGATCCCATGCTCCATTGTGCTGAGGTATCGTAAAGTTCAACCAGGGCTCAATAAAGCTGCTGTTTGGAGTATCACACTGGCTGATGTTGCATCTAGAATAGGGTTTATGTAAGATTTAGCTAAGCGGAGAGCAATTCACTTACCTGTGCACCACAGGGCTGGCCGTAAACACGTAGGATATGGAGTAGAAGGCATTGCAAACGATGGGCAGGCTGAGCATTATATAGTTGAGTATCTGGAAGCGTCCGAATTGTCCAATGCGAATGATGAGCGCATCCAGATGATTGTGCTGCGGGGACGCTGCATCCGCTGCCTTTGCCTCAGTCGCCTCTGAATTGAACTGCGCTTCTCCCATGCTTCAGTCTGAGACGTCTCTAGGCAACTGAATTGCTCTGTGCCACGGCGAGAAACTAGGCGCGCAAAGCGCTTATTTAATTGACCGCATTATGCATGCCACCCAGCGTATTGGGGGTGGGCCGATGGCGGGGTTCTGCTGCTCCACAAGTTTTTCACACGTTTTCAATTACCGTCGTCAGATGGCCGCAAAAGCGTGTCGCAGCTTCTGAGACTTAATTGCTGGCTACAAATATTTTAGGCACTGCAGCACAGCTGAGCTTAGCTTCAATGCAGTTCTGGTAGAAGTGCGGGGCTAACGAACTCGCCAGCTATATAAAAGAATTCAATGGGCTCTTTATTATACAATTTATGTTCTTTTATTGTTAAACTTTATGAAAGAATTTAAAAAATATCACTTGATGTTGGAGTGTATGTGTGTTTATGTGTTAAATATATAGAGAGGCTGTTTAGCTAAAAGTACAAATACAATAATATCATATTTAAGAATACTAAAGCTTACTCGAACTGAGAACTTAGAACGTACGTAAAGCAAGTGCCAGAGAACAAGCATATTACTCAAGAGTTTCTTCTTAATAACAGTTTTGTTTTGTTTTTTATTTTTCATTTATTTATTTTTCTGCCGTTTAACTGGTTTCAGGCGTGCTACTAGCGAATACTGCATAAAAGTGCCTACTTTTAATATACAACCTACAAAAGTTAGTCGTAAATCTTTTTTAAAAACCACAATTATAAATACCGATCGAAATGTTGCGTTTGTGTCTAACAAAATATCAATGAATAGTAACTCGCTAGAGAGGCTGCCATAACTAAACTCATATAACTACGTATATATAGTGCTATATATATATATATAAATATATAAACTGATACAGTATAAAGTTGCGGCTCTCGACCGCAATTACAACGTTCTGTTCTAAACCTCTAGTTAATATCAATCAATCTTCTGAATTTGCAATATGATAAGTTTTCAACTAGTTAAAAGAGGAATGATCCAAACAATCTAGACCGCAATCCTGACTGTTTACAGATTATACATAGGATTACTGGTGGCATCGAACAGCTGAGTGCCCGTTGACTCAATCATGGAGCGCAGCGCAATGCTGCGCTGTTTGGCCACAGCCTTACGCAATGTCAGCTCAAACACATTGTCCTCATCAATGTTGTCCATGGGCATATGCTGGCGGCTATCCGCTGGCTGTTCGGGTGTCTGGAACACCAGTTGTTCGTGCTCGTACAACACGCATGTTTCGGCAAATTCCTTGGCAAAGTATTGTGCTGTATTTCGGTTTTGTATGACCTCGCTGGGAAAGCATTGCAGCAGCTCCTCGAAGCTCAGCTCCGCTACCAGATTGTTGAGTATTTCTGTGAGAGACATTAGTTTTAACATTTGTTAACTATCTTAATCAAGAACAGACTTAATTGCTATAGAACATTTAATCGACTTTGACAGCTTTCACACCAACCTGCAATATGTGCCTTCCAATTGGGCAGCGCTTCCTGTTTGCTTAGTATCTTGCGGAGCAGAGACTCCCAATGCTTGGGCGTAAATCCACAGGACTGTAAACAGACACAGGCTTAATAAGTTTAAAGATTTAGTTTATAAGAAGTAACTCATCATTACCTTGCCATATTGCCACAGGAAGGCGGGACAAAAACTCAACATGTAATTGATAGCCAAATTTTTGGGCAATATTATGACCAAGAAGCTATCGATGCCCATTAAGTGGGGCGATTTCTGTATGAAAGCCAAAAACTCTGAAATAATCTCCCGATCCACCTTGCTGGAGGCCAGTAGACTTTGAATCTTAAGCGTCAGAGTCAAGAGCTCGTTGTGCCAGCCTGTGAAGCGCACCTCGAACTCGCCCTCATCCTTTTTGGGATAACTAAAATCGCTGCGCTCAAAGGGTGGTAAACGGTTCAAGTATTGGGGTCGTTCCAGCAAGCATGGTATGGGTCGTATATAGGCTTTGATATGCTGTTCATATTCCTCGCCCTCGGCCAGTTTATAGTCGGGAATGTAGGGTACAAAGATTAGCTTGTTTGATTGATTTGATTCGCTCGCTTGGCGTACGCTCGGCTTGCTGCAGTAATTTGGCGCCATGCCAACCATATATGCAATGCATTCCATTCGCAGATTCAAGAAATCCTCACGTCCGCTTTGCTGTTCAACATCGGCAGATTGCAGATCGGTAATGAGATCACTGAGAGCCTTTAAACGGCCCATATACATGCGAAAGAGTATTTTCAGGCCCTTCAGATTTGTGGCAGCCACATCGTCGTCGGGTTGCGGCTGCGAAAGTGAAGCGTTAGAGCTACGCTTTTGAAAGGGCGATCCGCCCTGTTGATCCTGCAGCTGATCGTACACAATGCGCTGCTGGCGGCCACTTAGCGAACGCTCATCGGGCGCGGAGCTGGCGCAAGAGCTAGACAAAGATTGGACATCCGCCTCACTGTGCAGCGAGGGCGCTCGCGAGCTGCTGCATTCATCATCATAGTCATCGTCCAGCTGAGGCGGCGTCTGCGAGCGCACCTCATGCGGCTGCAGCGAAGAGCTCACATCGTACAGATCATAATAGTAGACCTGCAATATGTTAACGAAGACCTTCTGCGAGGTCTGATAGCCCTTCTGGCCAATGTGTGAGGCGATATAGTTGAGGAACAACTGTAGCACCACGTCCAGCGTAATGCTATGCTCAATGCATAGGGCGTGAATGAAGGCATCGCTTATGGCCTCGATCAGTGCGGGCTGCTCATTGGCCAGCAGAATGGTCTCACAGAAATCCGAGAACGAAATAATGGCACTAGGCGTGGGCGTCGCTGCACAGCCTCCTGAAGACTTGCCCTTCGCTTGTGTGGCGCTGCGACGGGAACGTTTACGAGCCGTGAGCTGGGACTGCTGCTGCTCCGGTTGCTGTCGCCGCTGATAGAGCACTGTGCTGTCATCGAAGAGCACGTTCTTGTGCTTGATCAGGGCCACGGCTAAAGTGCGACGCGTGCATTTGGATATTATTTCCTGGGCCAGCAAATAGTTGGACATGCGACAGGCAGTTACAGCTAACAGAAGAGTCTCATCGGGTGTGCTTAAATGAAATGCAAACACAATTAGTTTAAGATTCGAATTTCTAATGCATTGCTAACTTACAGAGTCGTCAAGTATTTGAGATAGTTGATTAGCTCTCCGCTCATGGCATCGGCAACCACGGGCGAGCTAAGCATTATCTGTGGTATATCCGCTGGGGCATGTTTGATGAACATATTGAGAAACTCCAGTGAGAGCGGCACCTGCTTATAGCCCTGCTGTAGCACCCGGGCAGGTGTGAAGTACGGTGATACGGTCTGGTGCAAAAACGAAGACCTGAGACGATCCGTGCCCAGGCCAAGCAGAAACAGTTTTACGGTATAGATGAGCCCAGCCAGCTGCGCTGTTTCCACCACCTGCTCGCTGTCCATAAACTCCTGAATATAGTTGTTGTAGATGTCCACCAATTGCAGCTGGCACATCTTGTAGAAACCAGTCGCTTGCAAATAAACCTCTTGCTTATTGGAGCTGTAAAGAGAATACAATTGGGGAATATCTTTAAGAAACTCAGGAATTGAAAGCTTTACTATGCACATCTGCAAATGTTATCTACCGTGTTAAGTGCAGAAACCCCTCTTACCGTATTGAAAAGTCGGCCAATTTCCGACAATTTGCCATAAACATTTTTCGCAACTCCTGTTCCCTGTCCACGCCGAGCCTCTCGCCCTGCAGTGTGAGGCTCAGTCTAAGCATGACATGCGCCTCCTCCATGAGATCATAAAAGTTGGAGCTGCTTGCGCTGCGATACGATTCGGCAATGCCTTCGAGATCCTCGACAATGTGCTCTACCTTGGGCACCTCCAGATTATACAGCGTCCACTCGTTAACCACCGAGGAGTGGACAGCACTGCTGCTTCTCAGCAAACTGTTGTGCTTGGCCTTTGCCTCGGCCAGGAACCTGGCTGCAATGTTGCGCTTAACAGCTACCACGGCGACCTCGCCGGTGCTGCGACGCTTGTGCTGCTCGAGCGCTGTATTTGTGATTAGGACGAGCTGATCCCGGTTGACGCACACGAACTGCACGTGCATAAAGGCGGCCAGGCCAATGACGGCAATGGCCGAGCTGACGTCGGGCGAAGACTCCTCCGGGAACAGACCACCAATGCTCGGATATTCGAAACGATTATGAAACAGCTTGTGGCCGATGCGTGAGGTATGCGTTTCCACAGACTCCGAGGTGACGGCATAGACGACATAATCGTTCAAATGCACCTGCAGCACGGGCGCCGTAAAACTATAGCTGGCCACCGGCTTCTCGTTCTCGCTGTACCACTTACCCTGGCCGCAGAACTGAAACAAATAGCCATCCACACTGCTGGCCACGAGCAGCGCATGGCCCACACAGCGCTGATGCTGCGAGGATTTGAGCGTGCGGCGATTTGCATGCTTGAATGTGGTCACAGCGCTGGGCACCTGCTGGTTGCCCATGTCATACTCGTCGTCCTCCTCCAGCTGCTGCTCGCTGCTGCGCTGGTATATGGCCTTTAGGTCCATGCAGCGCAGTATATCCAAGACCCGCGACTGCGGCTCCGATGTCCGCATGCATATTTGCAACAGTTTGCGTATGTCGTATTGTACGGACACATCTTCCGTCGCACTGTTCCCGCCGGCACCTATGCCTCGCACATTCATGGCCTTCGCCTCGTTGATTAGTTTTATTTTGATATCTGCGGCCCGTTGTGGCGTTATGGTTATCTCCTGTGTGCCATCTTCCAGGCCGCCGCTGCGATTGCTGCCGTTCTCGCACTGATCCCATTGTGAACGCAGCTCGGGCTCAAATTCACGACCGTAGGCGGTGTTCACGAGTCGCGCCACATTGAAATCGAGAGGCGTGCGTCCAGCCAAGCCCGGACCGCTTACCAATGCTGGCTTGGCGCTGCTCGAGGATTGCAGGGAGTCGCTTTCACAGCTCTGCTGGCTGTGCGTG